TGCCAGGCTCCTCGTGCCAATGCGTTTCGTCCAAGCTGCTTGCCAGAGGGAGGGTCTGCTCACCATCACCAGCCACACCACCGGGTCTGCCCCCCTCGCCAGGGCCACAGGGAAAGCGACGCTGGGTCGCCTCTCACTATTTGAGGACTGACCCAGCAGAAGAGACAGAGCAAACTATTGTTCTCCTGGTGAGGAGAGAGAGAGACTTTACCTACCCCTAGGTAAAATCCAAAGACAGGATTCAAGCCTCATGAGCTCTAACGGACCTTGACAAGCATGCAATAAATTAGCATTCATGAACGTCCCACCTGAGATCAGGGCCCCGTTGTGGTCTGCGTTACACAAACAGTGAGAAAAAAATCGCTGTCCCCTGGAGATCACAGGCTGTAGAAGGGAAACATGCACAGACTGGAGAAGTAACTTGCCTGAGGAGGTCCCAGAGCAGAGCAAGGAATAAACTCCAGGTCTCCTCCTGCCAAAGTGTGCTCGATCCACTAGGCCAAACTGCCTCTAAACCATGCTGGATTCAGATCCAGTCTGGCAGAGTAGCCCAGGGGATCTCACTCTCCCCAGCCCGGAACACACCTTGCCACTGTGCGGCTGAAACTGGCAGCTTTAAGTTGTTGGACACTGTAACAGGTCACAGACTCACCGCCGCAGCGCCTCCTGCTGGTCATCTGGGAATTAGCTCAATTCCAGCACTTGGAGCGCCACCTGCTGGCCAGTGTCTCTCATGCCTCAGGCCCCGTGCCCCTCCCAGACCCCAGTGCCCTTTACCTCAGGGCTCTGCCCACAGCAGTACCCCCCACACTCTGGGTCTTCCCTCCCCAGGGGAACCCCCAACCTTCTAAGCCCACCTTGCCTTAGTGGCTACTGCCAGTCATCATCTAGCCCCCTTTCTCTGGGGCAGGTGCAGTCTGTAATGGCCACTCATTATCAGCAAGGGGGTTGGAAGTGCCACCTTTCTTGGCCCAGCTGCCTCCCTGCAGCCCCAGTACCTCCTTTGGCCTTCAGCAAGGCCTCAGCCTGGGGACTCACCAGGCCAGAGCCCCCGGCTCTGCTCTGTTCCAGGTACCCTGTGCTCCCAGACAACTAGGTCCTTCCCACTCCAGCCCTGGAGTGAGACTCTGTCGCCTGGCTCACAGCCCTTTTATCAGGGCCAGCCGTGGCCTGATTGAGCTAGCCACACCTGGGGCCAGCTAGCCAGCCAGCCTCCCTCAGCCACTCTGAATCTCTTTTCTAATTGGGTCCCCACCACAGCCCTCTCCAAGGGCTGCTTTTAACCCCTGCTCTCCTGGAGTGGGGAGCCGCCCCACTACAGACACCAAGTAATTCTATTTTAAAAGTTACTAAAAATATTTAGAGGAACAAGGAATGGTAGGCTGGCTTTAACCGGCTCTCGCTCACTGCCAGCTCGGGGGTGTGGCTTTCCCTGTTCAGTCACAGGAGTTACCCGAGGGCCACCATGACCAAACAAATGTCACATTTATTAACTGGGGCTATTTTCGTACGAAAGAGAGCAGGGGAGCCAATCAAACACAAGTCGACAGAATACAGGCTCTGGAGTGGCGACTTCCGTTACAATCTCAGCTGTCTCTCTGGGGAGAGCTTAATGGTGATTGCCGTGAGCAGGTAACGGCCCCTGGGGGCGCGTCTCTCGTGGTAAGAGAACGCCCAAGTCTGTTGTTGTGAATCCATTCTTTCGGCAAACGAATTTTGTTTTGGGGCCGGTGGACCTGCTGGTGATTAATAACTAACCAGCCCGATTAGAATTGGGAACGTAAGCAGTCTTAACGGCATCCTGTGACATTGAAGCAAATGTTTAAATCAGTTGCTTAGAAGAAGCCATCGAAGGGGCTGTGTTTGAAAACAGGCCAATTATAAATCTTAGACCTAGTAGAATGCAGGTGGATTTCTTTCCCAGCGTTTTAGCCCATCTCCTCTCCAGGAATAACTAGTATGACAGCATTTCAATAGTCCAACAAAATCGTTACAAGAGTTTGAAGACCCTTTGCGGCGTCTCAGTTAACTCCCTCTCACCAACCCACGCCAAAGTCTTAGGGAGGTTTCCCTTGAGATGGTTTCTCTGCCTTAGCCACAAGCCCATCATTCCTCCCCTCTGTCCTGCCACAATGAGCTGCTGCTAAAGTCAGCTAGCAAAACTAACCCCCCCCAACCCTCGTAGGGTTGAGATCTCAAGTAGGGCTAGGCAGAGCTAGCTGCACTGAAGGAAGGGATCCATCCCCAATCTAGTTTCCCAGCACAAATAACTTTCTTGGGTCCTGGTCACATGTGGTGTCTGACATTTGGGCCTTGGCAGAGTTTTGTTAGTGTATTATTAGGATAGTGGTTTTACATGGCATGGTTGTTTAACACAGTGCAGCCAGAGGGTCCAGAAATGGGCACACAGGGGCATGCAGAGCAGTGACTCACCAGCCAGCACAACCCCCCCACGGCTGGGCATGGCATTACAGGATGTCCTCTGCTGACATCCCCGCACGACAGCTGCTCCAGCCCTGCACTGATCCGCTGCTTCTCCTAGTCAGCCCTCCGGCCAGCTCACTTATAGCCCCCCCCATTCCAGGGGGAGACAGAGTTCCACCACCCAGCAATCCAATAACCTCATGCCAGATCTTCGGCCCAATTCTGGGCTCAGTTCCTTACACCCCTTGAATGTGGGAGGCAGGGTGTCACACAACCTTTCTCCAGGGCCAGTTCTAGGCCAGGGACCTTGTAGCAAGCCACTGCAGTCCACTCCCTCAGGCTCCTGGCTGCCTCCCTGGACCACTTCCAACCTCAGCCTGTCTCTAGGCCCTTTTCCCCAGCTCCTACCTGGGCAACCTCCTCCACAGACCCTTCACTCCTTGCCAGGCTCTGCAGAGCCCCTTCCTGCTCTTGGACCAGGCGCTGCCTGTCAGGGATTTCTCCCTGGAGGGCCAGCTCCTGTCTGCCTCTCCCCAGACTGTCAGTGTGTCCACATCTGTCCACCTGCCATTCACCATCACTCCCATCAGCAGGGAATCCTCAGACCAACTCTCCTCCTACTTCCCCCCAGTCCCCTGGAATCCTTCCTTTATTAGCCACCAGCTCCCTTCAGCTGGGCCTGGCCCACCCTCCAGGTGCAGGCAGGTGCACTGAGTGCCCTCCCGCTCCAGTTAACTCTTTCTCTGCCAGTGCGGAGTGCACGCCCCATCACCTGGCCCCCAGGGACATTTCCTCCCTCTGCTTCTGTGAGGGCAGAGTCACAGCTGGAGGGGGCAAAAGCAGTGTCTTCACCCCGCCCTGAGATGCCGGCAGGGCAGAGCCAGTGGGCTGAGGTGGGGAAGGGTTCGGGAGAGATGGCAGAGATCAGGGCAGTTCCCAAAGGGGACAAAAACAACGAGGAGTCCAGTGGCACCCTAAAGACTAACAAATGTATTTGGGCATAAGCTTTCATGGTTAAAAAACCCACGTCCCAAAGGGGACGTTTATCTGCTGCTTGTCACTGGCCTTTGTAACCTGGACACCCCAACGGACCCTGGCTACTCCCAGATGCCCAAAGCAGCAGCAGTCTTAAAAGCCCAGATCCTCAAAGGTATCTAGGTACCTAACTCCCATTGAAATCATGCACCTTTGAGGATCTGGGCCCAAGAATTTGTTTTCCAGCTGCGCTTGGGTAGAAAGCATCACTCCTTGCATTCAGCCATGGACCTCATCTACTCCCCCCAGTCACGATGGTGTTGAACTCAGTATGTTTCTAAAATGCTTTGGGAGGGAAAGAGCAAATTATTTTATCAGTCAGAACACCGGCTGCCTGCCATGTTCCTATTGGCCAGACGCGCCTGGCAGCAGTAAAATGAACACACATTGTTGCAACTGATGTTCTACTTAGTGCCTGCATGTCATTGACTAGCCTGGAGACAAAGCTGTGCAGGGCAGCTGCTAGTGCAAAGTGGGAGCTTCTAACCTGCTTTGACCGGCCTTGAGATTGCACTTGCTGGAGTTTCTATTCTACAAAAATTAAAAGCCAGATCCTCATCTGATGCAAATCAGTGTCGCTCCATTTAAGTCAGTGGGCCAGATCCCCAGCTGCTCTAATCTGGCACAGCTCCGCTGAAGTCAACGGGGAGTTTCACCAGCTGAGGATCTAAGTATTTTGTTAAGGAGAAGACAGGCTGGTGCTTTGCAATTCTTCAGCCTCCAAAGCACTACTGCCAGCCTCGTGAGTCCAGGTCCCCCCAAAACCACAAGATTGGCTTAAAAATTATGATTTTTTAAAAATAAATGCGGCATTCTTTATCTTTGCCTTCTGCTTCCGGAGCTTTTAAGGTGCATTGGGGTCACATTTCCAAGTTTTCCTCTGCAACCAGGCAGGCTGGAAGCTTACTAGAAACAAAGGAAAGCTGAGATTCTCCTGGCTCCGGGAGCTGGGGCTTTCAGAAAAACACCACGTATCGCAAGACTCTCAAGAGCTGGCAGTACTGTAAAGGGAATTTCTCTCACCCTCTTGGGCCAGGTGACTTAGACTGGAAATCTCATAAACACAGACTATGCCAGAAAATCTCCAGTGCTGGCTGCCTCCAGAGGGCTGTCCATAATCCAACCGGGGGCGGGGGGCGGCACTGGTTGCTTAGTCCTGTCTTGACACAGAGACCTTGGTACAAGCAAACAACCCCCTCTGCCTTCCCTAGGAGCCACCACATTCAGCAAATCCCCCGCGCACACACACACACACACACAATCCCTCTCCCCAAGCAAATACCAGACCCGCGGGGTGAGCCGCCCTCTTTGCCCTGGAAGCAGCAAAGTGCAACTCATGGGGCAGGTGCAGGGAGTGAAAAGCAAACTCGAGCATCAAGCCCCCTCTCCCCCCTTGCTGAGAAGCCACTGCCCCCAGGCCCTGGTCACTCAAGCCCCCATCCCGCATGCTGATCTCAGCAGTCAGCGGAGACAAGTGGCAGTTTTGGGGGCCCAGCAAAGTGGTTCAGTCACAGCTGGGGGCGGGAGGGGGGACTGTTGTTACATTGTCAGGAGCCAGTTTGTAACCCCCCTCAGCATCACAGCCGGCTCGGGGAGGGCAGAGCCTCTGAGCCTGACCCTCCTTGGACTCAGGGGTCAAGGCAGCGCCTGGGGTCAGGGCAAGGAGAAACAGGCCCGCCAGTGCTGTCAGGGAATGCAACAAGTGGGCTCCTCTCCACGGGCGGAGAAGGACAAAGGGCCCCCCACAGCTCCCCGGCTCCAGCAAGCGCTGGTGGGGAGAGCAGCCAGGCGAGAGGGGAGGTGGCTAAAGCCCAGCTAATCCCCCAAGGAGCCCTGACTGGCAGAGAGCTGCCTTTTCTTCCCCTCTGTGTGTGCACGTCCATCTGTCTCTCCTCCACACGCTGTGCCGCCTGCCTCCTCTTCCCCTGCGGCTCGCCGGAGACAGTGCTACAGTCGCCTGCAAACTTGGGGAAGGGGGGAGCAGGGGAGGAGGAGGAAGTGAGCGCCGAGGAGGAAAAAATTCAACCGGGGGGGTTTTGGGGGGGAGGTGGGTCTTCTGTCCGCACCTTGGGCAGGCTACAGAGCTGGCTTGGGAACAGATGAGCTGGGGAGAGAAGAGATGAGCCTCCAGCTGTCCAAGAGGGGGGCTGAAGAGGAGCCCCGCATGATGGGGTCCTGCGTGTCCCAAGGTGAGTGCCATCCACCGCGGAGGGAGGGGTGGGGCAGGGGGGCTGAGCCAGCCAGGGCTGGAAGGAGAGGGGGAGGGGAGAGAGCCGCCGACTCGCACCTGCCATCCAAAGGCAGCTGCTCTCCAGCCCAAGGATTGTTTACTTAGTGTCTGCCTCCCCATGGGGGTCTGCCCATGCCCCGCCTTGCCAGCCAGCCCCTTGGACGTGTGTGTGTTTTTGTGTGGGGGGGTGTTACTGAATGTAACAGAGACTCAGGACAAGGAGGAAGGGAATGGCTTTATTCCCTGCTAGCTGAGGGCTGTTGGCTGGGGGGGCAGACCTGGGGGTGGGGCATTTAGCTTTTGCCTTTACTACAAGGCTCCCCTCGGACACTGGCTAGAGCTTCACTCACGTACTCGGTAAAAATCCCCATGCTCCAGGGCATAAACAGGACACTAACTGAGACGGGTCAGGCAGAAACCTCCCCTAAAGGCAGGTTATTCCATCTGTGTCCACTAGGGGGTTTCTTGCACCTTTGTTTCCAGCCACTGTCTGAATGGAGCCCTGGTCTGACCCGCATCAAACTCCCAATCTCCCCCTCCCAAACCCCAGCCTCCTGGCATCTCGGTCAAGCCCTGCCCTGCACAGCCAGGATGAGACAGAGACTCTGCCACGGCAGCTCCTGGCTTGCTGCATGCAGACAGTCAGGCACTTGTCTTCCAACCCCAGGGCAGTGACAACTTGCCACGTCTCTGGGACAGTCACTCAGGGAGGATCAGGCAATAAAGGGAGGCATTTGGTGCTAGGTGGGAAGACTGGGGGAAGTGAGCATCATCAAGCTAGAGGTCCCAATTGTTTGCACCAGTGTGAGTCCATTGAGATTGGTGGGATTACTCCTGATTTATGCCAGCATACACAGGATTAGAATTGGGCCCAGACTCTCCGATGCATTCCCCAGGGTGATTTCAGATGGTAAAACAGCCCTGAAGCAACCTGGGTATGGGGTTACAACAGGGGAGACAGGGTTCTGGGTTCTAGTCCCACAAACCCTGGCCAGTTCTCAGCTTCCATGTGCAACTTGTGTTGAATTCAGCCCAGAGAGTCATATTTTTCTAAGGAAATATTCCCTTATAACAGAGGCTTTCATCCTAAAAGCTGCATTGCAAAGCAATTTGTAATGATTGTTTCATCCCACGCCAAAATGCAGCCACCTCTGGGGTACAGTGCTCTAATGGTCCAGCAGTGCACATCGCCATGGAGGAGGGGACTATACCCAGCTGCACACTGGGACTAGCCTCCCTGTGCCAATAAGAACCAGAGGTGAAGACCTTGGGTCTTTGAGACTGTATAATGCACAAGGAAAGCCGGTGTCGGCATGTTTTCCCCATGTATTACTGGGCTGCTTTTTAAAGTGAGTCGGGTGTTGGTGAAAGGTTGGAGCCTCTTTGGTGATTGGGACTGGTGGGCAGAGCCCATCAAAGCAACGGAAGGCCCTCAGGCAAGGGAGGGACCCCAGGGCCCAGAAATCAGCTGAATACTGGGCACAACAAATGAACAAACCGGGATGGCGAAACAAGTCACAGGGGCAAAGCAAGGGATCCAGAAGGGGACACAGAGCTGAGGACACTTGCACCCACCATGCCAAGAAGGAGGCCAAGCAGAAAGTGGATGCTGCGCATAGGAACCCTGCCTGGATGGACGAGGGGCTGGAGAAAGGCTCCCACTGGCAGAGACCCCCCCATCCAGCTCCCTCCTCCTGGACTGATGGACGATCACGGGGAGGTTGATGGGGAGGTCTTGGGCCCTTGTGGTATTGGGATGGGAAGGGCTTAGAGGAAGAGGTGTGGGGGGAAGAGCAGCCAGTACAGGTGACAGGCCTGTAGCAATAGGGAATTCTGCTTAGCTACAACACCTGTGCAGCTATGCCCTGCACCCTCCTCTGCCAACATGCCCTTGCCAACCCAGAGGCAGCCACTGGTGAGGGCGGGGCCCACTCAGGGACTTGGCTTCTCTCCCGCAGGCTGCCGGTTGTGCAGGTGATATGTAGGGTGTGGAAATCAGTCTCGTGGGAACACTCATGCCACGCCAGCCTTGAGATAGCGCCAGCTTTTAAGTCATGACTGAGTTGATCTGAATTCAAACTAGAGGTGAAAGGCCTGTTACAAAGTCCAGGAGACACTGGAGCCAAATCAGACCAGGGCCAGATTCTCCAGAGAGCTCCATCAGCCAGATTCTCCATGCCTGTGGAGTTCTTTTGACAACGTGGCCCCGAACGCACAGCTAGGCCGAGACAGGCCCTTGTCACTGCACACATCATCTTACACTGTGAGGGCTGCACATCGAGATCAGCCTAGCCCTGAGAGTGACATGGAAGCCAGCCATGCCTCCCACGGAGCCATTGTCAGTTTCCCTTGAGTCACGTATGTTGGATGAATCCCTTGGGATCTTCACAGCCAAACGGTGCAGGTACAAACAGTCCGCGTGGCCGGGCTTTTCCATGGCTGTATGTCTCAGCGCGTGTCCTCCTTTGCTTTCAAGGCAGCAAGGGGACAGCTCGCTCTTGGCTGCTGGCATGGTCCTATCACACCAGGATTCTTGATAGGGCCTCAGCTCCAGGTGGCCCTGGGTGACAAGGACAAAAGGGTCCACACTCGCACTGAGCCTCCCAGGAGCATCGTGAGGGGAAAACTGTAAATATCTGTGAGTCACTTAAGTGGTGTAAGTTTAAGGGAGGCAATGTGGCCTAGTGGACAGAGTGCTAGACTGCACTTCAGGATACCAGGGTTCTAGTCGTGGTTCTACTGGGTGACCTGGGGCAAGTCATTGCCCCTTATTGTACCTCAGTTTCCCCACCTGTAAAATGGAGGCAATGCTACTGATCTCCTTTGAGATCTACATCTCTGTCATGCTACCAGGGGTAGGACACCCCTAAGAGTCCCAATCTCAGATCAGACTCACAGAATTCAATGACAATAACCAGCCTGATAAAAATAGTCCACTTTTCCAGTTACAACGGGATTTCAGAAAATGCAAATCCACCCAGATCAACACTGGCCCAAAGAAGAAGGAAAGCCAACCCAATTTTTCTTTTACATAATCCCAAAACACCAACATTTTGCAATTCCTTTTAGTGGGTGGTTGTTATAGACACTTCTAATTTCACACCCACCCACCCACATCAGAGCAGACGGATTAGATCTGGTGCGGTTCAACTCCAGGGGGAGCTGGATGTTTAAATGCTTCCACTCCATTTGGAAAGCTCCAGTTTCTCTTTTAACCAGATCCAGGCACACTTATATAGTTATAGATGTGTGTGTGTGTGTGTGTGTGTACACAAAAGCCTTAAGTGCTGCCGAAACCTGCAGAGGAGAGACTGCTTATGGAGAAGCAAAGCCTTTGAAATGCCCCTGGTTTGCACCAGACCCCATGGTACTGTGCGTATACACCCCCTATACACTCACTATAAATATCTGTAGAGAAGAGGAATTTTGTTCTCCGAGGGCCGTTAGCGTCAGCCTGTGGCATCCTTCCCTAGATGTGGCCTTGTGAGGCTGGGCAGGAGTGGCACACTGTACTTGTGTCTATGACTCACCACCCAGAACCGTCAGTTACACTTAATAATATTACTGTCTGCAGAGCCTGTTAGGTGGACATGTGCCAGGCAGCTAGGGCTCTGCCCGCTGGGAGTCTGGGGGGAGATTAGTTGCTGGGGAGAAGGATGGGGAAAGGGAGAGCTCTAGCAGGCTCGTTATCAGGGGCTGCAAGGTGCAGCTTGCAAAGGAGCCATGGAAAGGGACTGATAATACACACAGCATGGTGTTCTCAGCTGTGCCACTAGGAGCCAGGCTATGCAGGGGGCCAGAAGCTGGAAAAGAGATTTGGCATAAAATTTAAGTAAGCTTCATAACACCTACTTCTTAGCTAGCACTTTTCACCAATAGATCTCCAGGCACGGTACACAGGACGGCAGTCTTATTATCCCATTTTACAGATGGGAAAACTGAGGTACAGAGCAGGGGTGGGACTTGCCCAAGGTCACCCAGCAGCAGAATTGGGACTAGACCCCAGATCTCCAAAAGCCCAGTCCTGAGTTTGTGCTCCCAGAATTGAGAAATTCTCCCCTTCCTCTCTGACGTGTTTTCCAGAGTGGGTGACTTTATTGCAAGATACCATCTCCACTGGGGAGATTTCCTGTGTTTGTAGAGCGCCTAGCACAGTGGGGCCCTGGTCCGTAGCTGGAGTTTCCACCTGCTATGAAAATACAAATAATAAATACTAATAAAAAACCCAATTCAGCTAAGCTGCTTAGAGAGCCATCACGTGGACCCCGTTTGAGGTGGTTCAAGGAGTCCTGATCTGTTCAGACTTCACCAATTTCCAGATGACTGAACCACTTGCAGGACCAAGGTGGTTTTGACCATTTGCATATGGGAGCCATTCACAACCACTTTGCTGCAGTGCATGAGGCGTAGGGCGATCAAGACTCCCGCCCCGTGTGCATTGCCACTCCCACCTGTTCGCTTCAGGGACACAACCACATTTTGCTCCCATTCGCCCTGCAGGAGCCAGCACAGGGGGAGCTGGATTCAATTCTGCCTCCCACTTCATCCACAGAGCTGGCCACTCTATTCCTATCAGCCCCATCTGTGCAAACCCATTCAAGACAAGGGGGCTGCCTGGGTGTAGAATTTGCCAGCTAACCCTTTGCAACTGGCGATGGTTGGGGAGAAGGATGAGAACCCCCAGCGTGACTCTCAGAGCCCGGCAGGAGTTTGCAGGGCCGGCAGCTAGAAAGACCTCATCTCTTTACTCAGAAAGGGGACACATTTGGTCTGGAGTCACCGAGCCCTAGATCCGCAAAGGTATTGAGGTGCCTGAAATTTTCCAAAGTACCTTTGAGGACAAATAAACATGGAGCCTCACAAAACCCTTTATATCAAGGCATGTCTCTGAGCAGAATCACACTTGAAAGCTAATTTCCTGCATCCATTATATTCCTCCCCACTGTCAGGCAGCTGGGAGCATCAGAGTCAAAGCTGTGAAAGGGCTGCACTGTCTGAGGGAGGACAAGGGCTTCCCGCTGAGGAAGCTTCCAGGGTTTCAGCGGGGCAGGCAAGAGCCCAGAGTTGAAAGCAGGTGCCGAGGGGGCAGCTGGGCATGAGAACATGGTTTCCAGGAGGAAGTGCCAATGGCTTCTCAGGAACTGGGGATAAAATACATAAAATCAGCTGTGAAAGGCAAGGCGGCCGCCCACCAGGTTCTCAAAGCGGATGAGATTTTTAAGGTATGAGGTAGGGTGACCAGATAGCAACTGTGAAAAAATGGGACAGGGGGTGAGGGGTAATAGGCGCCTATATAAAAAAAAGTCCCAAAAAACGGGACTGTCCCTTTAAAAACGGGACATCTGGTCACCCTATGAGGCAGATGTTGAAATCAGATGGAAAATGCAGCAGGTTGCAGGGCAGGGTTTGCTCTGAACAGTGTCTTACCGACTCTAGGTGGCTTCATGTGTCATTGTAGCTTGGACCACCATGCCCTGGCCAAATCCCAGCACGGAGAGTTGTTCTAAGCCTGCCTAGGTTCCCTACGTAGAAGGGTACACACAGGTTCATATACAGACCGAGGTCCTGTCTAGACTAGGGTCAGGAAGGTGTTAGCTAATGTGTTAACAAGGCAATGTGCCGTCAACGTGTTTTAAACTGGCTGAGTTAAAGCCTACCCCATGTGAGCTAATGCCTTCCAAACCCAAGTCTAGACAAGCCAAGGCCTTCCCTGTTGCATCCATGAGCGCCTGGCCCTCGTGTGCATCATGCACACGGCCAGAGTTGTCAAACATAGGGCACGTCGACCCCATAATCAGAGGTGCGATTGCAGCGTAGGTCGCCATAGCTTTGATCTGCCTAGCACGGCTGAAAATAGCCATGAAGATGTAGCAGCAGGGGCTCTGGGACAGCCTGGTCGGAACTCCGGATACATACTCACATTTCGGGGCCCTGCTGGCTAGATCACAAAGCTAGGGCAGGTATGTCTACACCTACAGGAGGGCCAACCCCAGAGGTTGAAAAATCACGCGTCAGGCTCACCAGAAATCATGGTTTGAAAATCATGAGATTATATAAAAATAATAGATTTGGAGCTCTTTTTATTTGCCTTCTGCTTTTGAGCCTTTAGGGGTCACATTTTGAAGCTTTTTTCGCAGCCATGAGTGCTAGAAACTTACTTTTTCTTTAAGAATGAAGGCTGAAATCATCACAGATCCACCTGACTCCAGGAGCTGGGGCTTTACGGGAAACAATAATTATCATGAGACCCGTGACAAAATCACTAGAGTTGGCAACGCTGCACCTGCCTGCACTGCTTCGCCTCTCTGCACCCTAAGGGGCTGAGCATGCAGACGCTCACTCCGGCGGTGTCATGTTTACTTCTGTGAGCTAATCCCAACGGATGCAACGGGGGCTGCTCCCATCAGGCAGTCATGGGACGGGGGTGTAGGAGTTTGCGAGGCCTCACAGATCCGAAGTTCATCAGAGCAGGGAGCTTGTCTTCTTGCATTGGCCTGCAGAGCACCAGGCACAGCAAAGGTGAGACAGAGATCATAACAGGGGCAGATGTGGAGAAGGTGCCTTCTGAGCTGGCTGGGGTGGAGTGCGGGTCCGGGAGTAGGGGACACCTTCCCTGAGCAGGTGGATGAGGGTGGAAGAGAACAGGGCCATGGGCTCCCTTTTCCAGGCTCAGCACAGTCAGCTGGGTCCATCAGCAGCTCTGCTAGTTTCCCGGGCTGGATAGCTGCAGCCCCACAACGCTCTCTGAACACGCCACACCCGCTGGGGTAGGAGCACAGGACCATGCTGTGGAGAGTGTACATCCTTAGCCGATCCTCTCCCTAGCAAATCCCTGGGAGCGCACGGCCAGTGGGGACGGAGGCAAAACTGGTTGTGCACTCAGACGTTGATGAGCATTGCTGGGGAAGGACAAGGCAGCACAAAGCCCTGCCCCATGCTAATGCTGAATACAGACTGCTCCCAGGGGCCTTGTGAAGAGAGAAGGGGATGTAGTTGTGGCCTTTTTGCTTCCTGAGGATGATTAAACTCTGTCCCTTTGAAATGTCTGCTCGTCTCTGGTTCTGCTGGAGCGCTCCTTGGAGATCCTGGAGACGGAAGCTGTCAGCGCTCTTCGGTCTTTAATTGCAGCAGAGAAGGTGTCAGAGCTTTAGCAAAGATGCGCTTGTTCCCAAGCGTTTGCCATGCGTTTGACTCAAATGCCTGTTTGCCACAAAGCAAAGCCAACCGGTTTAAAGAGTCTGAACAAAATCACCTCCCTCCCCCTCTGTTAATCAGCTTTTACTCGCATGACACTCCTGAGGCTCGGATCTGACCAGGTCTCCAACCAGACCTAGTGTCGCCCTGGAAACCTAGAGTAGGCAAGACCCGAATTTGGAATGCAAAATAAGCACCAAACAGGAAAAATCCAAAGCTGTCTTCCAGGCCTTGTGTCCATCCCAGCATTAGAGGGCTCAGGGCCCAATTATATCTCCTAACGCAGGTCACCTTGAAGAGCGCAGGCTCTTGCAATGGCCTTTGCCCATCTCTGTTACACTTCACCTCCCTGCCTGTCTTCCTGAGCTTTTCCTGCTGCTTGCCTGGCTGTGCAATTTATTTTGTGGGCCACAAATACTGCTTTACAGCGGGAGCTGGCGCCTGGCATTTCCCACGAAGGGCTCTCGACTTTAAAATTTGTTCTCCTCTTGGTCCAAACTATTGCAAATGCATTGATGTGCAGGGAATCGTGGTGGGTGCATGGGCTTTCTTGGCCTTTGGGGATGGAATTAGCGATGGCTGGGAGCTGTCTAAGTGGGCTCGGGTAATTCTCCTCTATTTGATTGCCCTGGCGTGTGGCTACATGGGTCGGAGTTGTACCTGATGTATCTGTTGTATGGACCAGGTGTGTCAATTGCTGTCCTAGCTCCCAGAGCTTTAAGGGCAGGTGTTTTCTCATCATCATCAGCCTGCCCACACGATTAGGTGCATCAGGCAAACAGCCCAATTACTCCCATCCTGGGCTCATTTTCCGATCACTTTTATATTTGGGTGCAATAACACTCCTTCAGCCATTATCGTGCTATGCGGGTGCTCTTGTTATACAGACAAAACTGCACAGGATCGTTCCAGGGGACAAGACAAGAGGTCTCGTTTATTATAATAACACAATTGGATTTAAGACCAATAACTCATATCTAATACCTATGTATACACACACACACACACACACACACATCAAATGTTCTGCAGCTGCTGGATAGTTACCAGTCCTGAATGTAGCTTGAATTCGTGGCTTGGGTTCGTAGCTTGTGGCGGCTAACTGGCCAGGAAAGCCGAGCACAAGGAAGGGCTGGGTTTCTGTTGGGCATGCACCGATGCCCTTCCATGTTGGCAGCAGAATGTTACCCTCCAAAGTCTTCCATCTCATCCATCCTTTTTGTAGGCTTTAGTTTGAATCCAGAGTTTACAGGTCTTGCTGTGTCACGCGGCCTCTGGGTCCGGTGTGACTGATCACCCGTCAATTGCAGACATGACTTTCAGCCTGGGACCTGGCTTTGATGTTTCTTCAATTGTACTTTTGCTCTTTTCTTTTGAGGGTGGACTCTTCTTGCTTTGTCAGGCCTGCTGTCTGCATCTTCAGCCTTTGGTGTTTACACTTTATTTCATCAGGACAGCCTGGGGCTGGAGGTTGATTCCATCATCCATACATACCTCATTCCCACATCTAAACTACACTAATCAGATTACAGCCGGGTTTTGCAAAAATGAAGTGAGCATTTTAAAATGGAGTTTGGGACAAGTTAAAATGGAGTTTGGATTACACCATGGACAAGGGTAAGGAACGGCAAACAGGGAGCAGAGTTACAATGTTGAAGCAGTGCAAGTTTTAGCTATTTCAGCAGCAATTGGATTGAAAGTGAAACTCAATTAGCCAGTTATTGGGGTACCTGGTTTTATGAATGAATGTAGTTTCATTCATCATACTTTACTTATGAAGTTATATTAATAAAGTGAACAATTAAAAACAATTTCATTGATCAGTTCTACCCTCTAGGTTCGCCTCTCTGTCTCCTGCCCTGGGGTTGCCAAAGAAACACCTGTTTAGGGAGCCATTATTGGGCATTTGTAAAAATGTTCCAAATCCATCCATCCTTTCTTCTGTAGCACGAGTGATGTAGGTAGTTGTGCCTGGTCTAGGCTCTCTTCATTGCTGATTCTATCACCTGCACACAACGCTGTTCAGTTTGCACTAGAGGGACTTCTTATATTTCCAGGACTTTGCTCCCTATAGGACACGTAGGACGTTGGTTCTAAGGATCTTGTGTTTGGCATTTTTGCTAATTGCATTGAACTTCCACCTGTGCTGAGTTTTTCACATCCGGCACTTGCTTGACCTATTCCAGACTTTCCATCAAACATGCAATCATCAGGAACGATGCTGCCCAGTTAAGTAAATGTATTAACGGTTTTCAAGCCTAATTAATACAATAAGCTTGTCAATTCTAATCATTATTGATTAGCTGTACTGAGGCAGTGCCAAGAGGGCCCAGCCCTGTGGTGCGAGGTGCTGTACAAACACAGAACAAGCCAAAATACAAACCGCCTGGTCAGCTCTTAAGGGAAGGGCTGGGATTACTGAAGGGCACTGTGGCAGGAGGGAGGGAGGTGGCCATTCCTGCCAAGGCACACTCCTGGCAGACTGTGCCTCAGTTTTCCCATCTGTAAAGTGGGGATAACAGTACTGACACGGGGCTTGTGAGGCCGAACCATTAATGTTTGTGGAGCACCGTGTGGCTGTCAGCTGGCAGGGGCAAGAGAGGAACACAGGGAATAGATAGATACAGTATTAAGTGGCATAGAAGCCACTGCAAGAGATTTGGGATGCCCATATTTTGATCCATAACTTAGGCATGTGTAACAGGCTCTCTTCTCCCCCCCTCGGGACCACCCAAAGAGACTGGTTGCTTCCAAGTTTATAAGCACCTGTGTGTTATTTGTTGGATTTCCCCCACCAGTCCAGCAACATGCCATGGGAAGTAAACAGCCCCCTTTGCCCGCTATCCAGAGATCTCAGGATCCTGTCTCCCACAGCCTCTGCTAGTCACCCCCCTTGCACTTCCTTCCTTGCCTTTACCTGTTGTCAGTTAGCAGGTTGATTGTGCTCTTTAGCTCATCAGCCTCCTACCTAATTAAACCATTGAGCACCCATCCCCCCAGTTAAATCCAGCCCAGGGGGATCTAGCTAGTGCCCCAGTGAGCAGAACCCTGGGTCTGCTCTCAGACCCTAGCACTCTGTCACACCTAGTGGGAAATTTTCCATGTACGCTGTTTTTGATGGAAAATTAGGTCTTCAACTAAACAAAATTTTTCACAAAAAGTGTCTGCTTTCCCTGGAAAATGGTGACATTTTGTCAAAAAGCTGAACGCCTGAAAACCAAAATATTTCTATTTGGAAATGCTGCTCCAGTGCCCTATGGGAGCTGGGTATTTCACATCCCCATTCACCTCTGTGGGCCAAGTTCCCCATCAAACTACATATCCCATGGGGCACCAGAACCATGGGCGTCCATGATGCACTGTGGTGGCACAGCATGCGAGGCCATGGTGCATCATGGGAGATGTAGTCTGGCTGAAGAGCCTGTCCTATAGAGGAGAATGGGGACATGAGGCAGCTGAACTACAACTCCCATGAGGCACCGCAGCACCATTTCCAAATGGAAAGATTTGGGGTTCAATTTTGGGCCAAAATGTTGAAATTTTCCATCTCCCCCATCCCCAGTTTTCCAAGCATCTCTTTAAAAACTGCCCTGTAAATAGACACCGAAGGAGGGTTACCAGGCCCAGCACGTCTCTGTCACCCATCTCTTGTCTCCTTCGGTTGCAGAATTCTTCACAAGTGCTCAGAAGGAATATTCTATCGCCAGCCACCTACAGTGTCCTCCTTCCACTCACCGTGACAGTCAGCAAGTGCCCGCAGCTGCCCTGGAGAAGGACAACAGCAAGGTAACCAAAGAGTCAGACCCCCAGGACAATCATCACAAGTGCTACAGGAATATGCAACATATGTGTTGTGACGCCTTCCAGCAGCTTGGCCTCAATGAGAAGAACAGGGTACTACCGCTGCTAGCTAGTGGAGTCACTTTACTAGCTCCAAAGAGCTACACTGTGCTGCTGAAGGACCTGGGTTCAAACCCTGCTGATGATCTGTGCGGGTGGCTGTTATAGCTGACTTCTAGTTGCTGTTTGGCAAACAAACCTTGAGGCTTGTGATGCTTTGGTAGGATGACCAGATGTCCCAATTTTATAGGGACTTGTCCCGATATTTGGGGCTTTTTCTTATATAGACACCTATTACCCCCCACCCCAATCCCAATTTTTCACACTTGCTATCTGGTCACCGAGGGTGTGTGGGGGGGGGGGCGGTTAAACATTTCCCTGCAGCCCAAAAGGTCACTCTGAGGATTCTGCTGGCACGTAGTGTGGATGACTCAGGGATGGGAAACAGGCGGGGGAGCCGCTCACCCGTTCATGAGGGAATGAAAGCTATTATAGACTACGGGCTGTTCAGTGGCCCGTGTAACAGCAGCTTGGTGACTCAGACAAAGGCCAAGTGGCCAGGGATCCGTATTTCCTGTGCTTATTGGCAGCCTCTCCGTGAGGCCAAGCACCGACCGGGCCATGTTATTATTATTATAACATCCAGGATCCCCAGTCAGGACCCAGGACCCCATTGTGTGAGGCGCTTTACAAACGCGGGACAGAATGACAGGCCCTGTCTTAAGGAGCTGACAAGCTAAGCCATGGAGCCTTCCCCCCAGGTCAGCACCCACAGCACTACCTTACCCTGTGTGCGTGGCAGGGAAGGCTGCTGCTACCTGGCCAGCCCAGTTCTGGGTTCAGGGCGCTCCATCCATTCACCAAGTGTGAAAGGGCGTTAGAGAGGTAGTGCTGTCTAGCAGCTAGGGCCCCTGCCTAGGAATCAGGACACCTGGGTTCTATTCCTCGCTCTAGCACTAACCTGCTGTGTGACCCTGGGCAAGTCACTTCCCTGCTCTGTGCCTCAGTTTCCCCATCTGTTAATGGCCCTGACCTGCATTCGCGGTGACAAGCGCCATATCAGAGCTGGGTGTTGTTACTACTGCGCGACACAGTCTCTCTGTGCCAGGGACGAATGTGCTGCAGGGTAAACAGTGTGGAAAGAACACTGGGGGAGAAGTGGTATAAAGCTTTCACTGGCCGCTGTTTAGGGCACTGTGCAGGTTGTTCCAAACAGCCCCCAATCTAACCTCCACACCAAGCAACCTCCACTTCTGTTTATATGTTTTAGGAATAAGCAAAAATTGTGCCTCAGTTTCCCATGAGTAAAACAGAGACAATGACGCTGAGCTGCTTTAGAAAGAGCTGGGGGTCCAGCTGTCCCGCTCTGAGGGAAAGACCAAGCCAGTTTCATGCAGAATGCTGTCTATGAAACACACCAGAGTTTTAAGCTGTGATACCCCGGAACTTACACAGACGGCCCCTGCCAGCAGCCCCCACCCACAGTACCCGAAAACCTCCCATTAGTTCTTCCCACAGCCCAAAGCCCACCATCCTTTGTGGCCGAAGTTGCAAAGCATTGTGGGATATTTGTTTATTTTTAAGGCCGTGAACCAAAGGCGAGTGAGAACTGTTGTAGTAGAAAGGGGGCATTCCAGGCCCATCTCACCAGTGGTGTGCAGGGCGCCCAGATCCTGTGGTGATGGGTGCAGTATAAGACCAGATGGATTAGATAGACATTACCCCTGAAATTTGCCATTGTCCAGGTCTGAATACTGCCCATCCTACATCTCCAACCAGTATAATTTCCTGAGGGGAAATTCCACTTTTATGGTGGGGGAAGAAATAAAAATCTTGTAATTAAAAACCTATCCCCAAATTCAGATCTTCTCCCTTATATGCCTGTAATAAAAATAATCCCTACTGCTTTCCATCAGCCAATCTCAAATTGGTTTACAAAGGAGGTCAGGATCATTATCCCCATTTTACAGATGGGGAAACTGAGGCATGTGGTGGTGAAGTTACATGCCCAAGGTCACCCAGCTGACCAGTGGCAAAACCAGGAACAGAGCCTGGGTCTCAGAGCATGGCCACACTTTGAGCTGGGGCTTGGATGGATGTGTACTTAGGGCAGGTAGCCTCTCCCACCACTCATGAGGGTGGCTCGGTCCGAGCTAGCCTGGGTATGTCTCCTCCAGTTGGAACGCACATCTCCTGCTCGAAGTGCAGGCATACCTCACTCCTGTGCCCTGCTCACTAGGCTGTACTGCTGTTCCCCCCTCCCCGCCCACTCGCTTAGAGAATTGTGTAGCTTTGTGTCTTTCAGACAAGCTGTCTGAATAAAGAATTATCCATTTCTCATCACAGTCCTGGCCAGACCGTTGAAATGCGATTCTATCTAGGTGCTTATATGTGGAGTATCTCACAAACAGTCAGGAGTTTACCTTCCCGGCACCCCTGGAAGCGAGGAAAATGATTGCCATCGTTTTATAGTTGGCAGAAAGACTCCAAGAGATTAAGTAATTTGCCCAGGGTTAAGCAGCAGAGCTGGGGAACTGAATCCACAGCATCCCAGTGAGTGTTTTAGCTACAAGCCCATCCTTCCCACACTGAAGACACTGCTGACTGAGGCCTGTCAAGCTCATCCCAGCAGTGACCCGGCACAGCAGCAGCAATCGCTCCCACGACTTTCACTGAATGAACCTGATTTCAGTTTTAAAAGGCAGAGATTTGGCTATTGCCCACCCCCCCAAGCCCTGACACCCGTTGGGCCGTTTCCCCGGACAGGTTAATTCAGCTGTTCATGGGGTTCAGAGACACTCAAACCCATCCCTGAGCCCCAGGGGAAAGGAGAGTGTGGGGGGAGACCCTGCTGGCTGATCTGGGCGGGCGGCTGCACTCCTGGTCCAGCCTTTAGCCAGAGGATGCACAGGGGAGGGGAAGGATAAATTGGATAAATTGGAGAGAGTCCAGCGAAGGGCAACAAAAATGATTAGGGGACTGGAACACATGAGTTATGAGGAGAGGCTGAGGGAGCTGGGATTGTTTAGCCTGCAGAAGAGAAGAATGAGGGGGGATTTGATAGCTGCTTTCAACTACCTGAAAGGGGGTTCCAAAGAGGATGGCTCTAGACTGTTCTCAATGGTAGCAGATGACAGAACGAGGAGTAATGGTCTCAAGTTGCAGTGGGGGAGGTTTAGATTGGATATTAGGAAAAACTTTTTCACTAAGAGGGTGGTGAAACACTGGAATGCGTTACCTAGGGAGGTGGTAGAATCTCCTTCCTTAGAGGTTTTTAAGGTCAGGCTTGACAAAGCCCTGGCTGGGATGATTTAACTGGGAATTGGTCCTGCTTTGAGCAGGGGTTTGGACTAGATGACCTTCTGGGGTCCCTTCCAACCCTGATATTCTATGATTCTATGATTCTATGATTCTAAGGGGTCATGAACAGAGAAGAGAGCGAGGACGCATAGAACTGACACTGCTTGGGCTCCCCAAGGTCTCGCCCCAGAGCCCCACAGAGAGGGAAGGGCAGCTGTTTAATAATAATTTTATCACAGTAGCACTTGCAAACCCGGGTTAAGGAGGAAAACAAGACAAAAGCAGTGACTTGCTGGAGTGGAGAACAAGGGAATGGGGACAGGAGGGGAATGAATAAAACAAGCCAGGATGAAGAAGGACAGAAGAAGGAGCCACTGTGTTAGGCGCTGTACAGAGAAGACCGTCCCCTCCCCAGAGAGCTGCATTGGGCTACAGGAATCTCGGTTTCCCCTCCAGCCTGTGACAAATCTGCAACAAAAGGGGGGGCTGTGGCTGGGGAGCCCTGGGTTTGGCACCGGTTTTAATTCATTTCCTCCCCTGTATTTTAGGAAAACCAGATGGATTTCTGCTGGGACCCTCTGCAGGTCAGTGTGGGTTGGGTGGCCCTGAGGGTATTTTCTGCTTCTACAGTCTGGGAACCCTTGGCTGAGCTCCTGGGAGAATGCAGGGCAGGGGGTGGCTGAAGTGGTGCCCCCTAGTGGATACATGTGGTGGCTGCCGTGCCAGAAGCTGTGCTTTTTGGGGGAGGTTGTCCAGGTTGAAAGTCCCTGGAAAACTGTGGCAAGTGGAGGGGGTAGGTTCAAGGTGATCACATCACCTGGCCTTTGCTCAGCTAAAGCGGGGATGCGGAGGCTCTGGTGGGCCACAAGGCCGGCACAGGGTCCTTACAGTGAATGGGACCAGTGGGCTTTCATGGGATAGTAAGGTCCTGCAGACCCTTGCCATCCCAGGACTCCGTGCCAGCTGGTGTAGAACCAGCCCTGTTGACGGGACACAGCTGGGAGGTGCCTGGCGGACACTGAGCATGCCCCCCCAAAAAAAACCCACCGCCCACATCTCTGAGTTTTGGAGGAGTGGCTCAGCAACAAAGATAAGTCTACTCACTGGCCTGCAGGCTGGGAACTTGCTGCTTTATTTAACTGCAACACACCAGCGCATGAGGAGGAGGAGCAGGGGGGGAACTAAGCCAGACTAAATCAGAAAGTAAGGGAGGTATGGAGCGTGGCTCCATCCCATAGTACTCTGTGTAACCCAGTTCACCCCCTGATGACCATGATTAACTACAAAAAGAAAAGGAGGACTTGTGGCTTTTTGCGGATACAGACTAACACGGCTGCTACTCTGAAACCTGTGATTAACTACAGTTGCCCCTGGAGTTACAAGCACGTGGACTTCTGCAACCACGTTTGCAGCAGCAGAGGGCACTAGACATGGTCGCACAAGCCCCCCTCACGAGTCCACAGCAGAATGCCACCCATCTCGTATCATGAGTCCTGAGTGCCCATGGCCTGCATGGGTCCCCTCTCTTAGAGATGGGGCTGGCTGAGGGTACCCGCTGACCCAGCCCGTCTTGCCAGCCTTTGCGTTTCTCCTCCCTCTGCAGAAATGTTTCAAGACATCCAGTGGGATCCTCTCCAATTCCAAATCCGGCTCCAGCAGCTACAACATCACAGCCCTGGCGACCTCCTCTCTGGTGGGTAGGTAAAGACCATCCCTCCCTCCCACCAGGCTCCGTCACCCCTGAGCCCCAGGTTGGCATGACGGGCGTAGCACAGCCTCCCAGAGGAGCGCTGGTGCAAACATGCAGGACGGGGCAGCCAGGCCAGCCTTCCAGCCAAGATCCAGCAGGGCTTCTCTGCCCCCCGTGTTGTCGGCAGGGGTGAATCCCGGTCTCAGAGGAGCTTTCTGACAGAGCAGTCGTGGTGATTCAGGTTTGCCTGAAGGGGTCTCCTCATTCTTCATTCAAATGGAGCAGCCAGTAGCCAAGCTGGTCTGCTAGAGCTAGGGCCTGATCCCAGAAGGGGCCTGATCCCACCCCCACTGAGGGGATGTCCAGGGCCCAGGCACCCATCATCCCGCCGGATCGGGCCTCGGGCTAGACAAGAGCCATGCCTTGGCTCCGGGGAACAGAAAGGGGATTCTTTAGCAAGGCTGCTGGATACACACAGCCCCTGCGAGCCTCTCTGACTCCCAGACTGGCTAGCACAGACCACCCCGCCTTGTGTTACCGCATGGAGAGCCCCTACGTCCTGACCTCGAAGGCTGACGAGACTAAAGCGTCCTTAGTTCTGTAGGGGTAGGGCCACTGCTCGGTCTGGGTAGAGCCATCCAAATCCTCTGGTCCATGCCATCACGCCTTTCAGATCTCAGATCTGCCCATGGCTCTTGCAAGAAGCTAGCGCTGCCCATAACAACAAGCAGCCTCCTCCCCAGGCCAGAGACCAGCCGGACCCCACAGGCCAGGCTGAGCGGCTCTAATTGCCTCTGCACTGGAGAGGGAAGGGAGTTTATCTGCTTTCAGCAGCAGCCGCGACCGTCCCTCCCCCCGGCGTAATTAATTGTGTGTAGTGGAGATTAATAAGGCGTTTGTTTCCATGGAAACCGCCAGCTGGCTGGCCCTGCTGGCCTGATTCTCTTTTCTCCACAAGGCCCACAGTGCTGGAATCATCCCCCAGGCTGCCTGCCCAGGGCCCAGCTCCCAGAGCCACCGAGGAGAAAGGGCCCCAGTGCCGGGGACAGGACGATTCTGCTCGGAGCACGGCATGGGGTGGGAGAGGGGGCAGACATGGCTCTGGTCCATCCCCTCGGAGCATCACGGGTATCTGTTTGTTTGCCTCCAAAACCCTCCCAGCCCAGTCCAGGCTCCCATCCAGCGCTGCTGGTGCCCTTCAGTCCCAACCCGCCTCCACATCCTCTCAACAGCTACATGGAGCCATTCGGGGAGCTGGTAGGGCAGCCCGGACACAATACCCAAGTCTCTCCGTGCCCAGCCAAGGGCAGCACCTGGATGGCAAGCGGTGGGTAAAGCTGGCCCAAGTGGCTGAGGGGATGTGGTGGAAAGGGGGATCTAGCGTCTTCTCTATCATCCCCCTCTACTGGGGACACCTGGCCTCAGGTGATTGCACAGCTGCCCCTGGATGTTGTCAGACCCCAGATGACCAGGGTGGCAAAATAATGCCCTTCCCCGTCTACAGCTGGCCAGGAGATTATGCCCCATCCCACCAGACACAGACTTGGCCACATTGACCCCTACATTCCCGACCTCTAGGCCTGAGCGCTGCAATTCATTGTATCTAGGAATGGAGCCACATGCCCCGACAAAGCCCCAGATGTTACAAAATACAGCAGCCCGTCTCCCTCCTGAACACAGAGTCTGGTTCAAGGTCTCCAGAGCCCTCCATGGGACTGGGACTGGGACTGGGACTGGGACTGGCCCTGGCTCCCTGGCAGTCGCCTCTCCTGCCATGGCCTCCCGCTGCGACTATGTTCTACTGTCATCAATTAGCACAACAGACAGAACCTGCTCAGGAGATGACCCAGAGCAGACAGATTTGGGGGAACACTGCTCACAGCTGGGGCGATGCCGGGGGCAGCACTGTGACCAGGGTTCAGGTCTTCAGGACCCAGAGCACCTGGAAATCCCATGAGACCATGGGGAGCTTCCTATTGGCTTAGCAAGGGGGAAAAACCACAGTGAATTTTATGATAAACAGAAATTGTGATTTTTAGCAAAGTAGCAGAAGCTAATGATCAAGGGGGACTGGCTAGCATGGGAGAGATGCTTAGCCTCTTCCTCTATCCACTTAGGGCTGGGCCAGCTGGTCTCCTAAACAAGCACATCACACTACAGAGAAAGCAGCTGCAGGCTTTTATTATCTGCTTCCCCAATTCGGGTGGGGCAAGGGCCATCCAGAGGTGTGGCCAATGCTCTAGCCACTGCCCTTTCCTCGGATTTATAAAAGTGGCTTCTTTCTCAGCCATGACTGCATATGATAGGCAGCTCTTCCTGTTTCCCCTGCTGCAAGAGCTCCTGGCAGAGTCCGAGAAGCCTGGAAAACCAGTTCAACAGCCCCCTAGTCCGAGCCCTGTGAGCCCGAGTCAGCTGGCACAGGCCAGCCCTAAGCGTTTAATTGAAATGTAGATATTCCCTCAGGGGCTTCAGTTGGCTTTGGAATCACCCCTGGGTGAGCTGTCCAAAATTTTATCACCAGTAAACTGGGATCCAGCCCAAGTCATTCAGAGCAGTGACTATCTGAAGACTGGCCCATATGGAATGATGAGTTTGAGGAGTCTCAGTCCAGTTCCTAGTGAACTGGTGACTATCACCAGAGCTGGTACTCAGCAAAAAAGCCATCGAATGAATGAGCCCTGGAGACTGACTATCCCTCTGGCCCCAGAGGCAGATGCTCTGCTTGTGCTGTACCTGAGCTGGGGTCAATGGTAAATAGCCTATCCAGCTCCTTGCACCAGTGCTAACTTCACCCTGGAGAAATTCTTCGTAGTGCAAGGTGGCATCTTCGGGCCCGTGTCTACGCTGCAGTTAAACACCCGCGGCTGGCCTCCCTCCTCACGAGGGCCCGAGCTGAATGTCTACCCTGCAGTCTGATAGCCCCGCCACGCAAGCCCCACGAGCCTGAGTCAGCTGACTGGAGCCAGCCGCGGGGGTCTAGTGCCTCTTGAATGCCATGATTTGCTGTGCTCTGTTGAGGGTCCCGGTTAGATACCACGTCAGTGCACCCTCAGAGCGCTGCAGTGCTTGCCCTGCGAAGTGCCACGTAACTCCCAGCTCAACGAGACATGCAAAACTGCAGCTGCCTCGGGGAAATAGCTCCAAGCTCCAGCCACGCAAAAAGGGCTACGAGAAGGGCTGCCGCAGCCCTGCAGGGGGCGCTTTCGCTGGGAGAAAAACATTACCCCACATTGCCCAAGCAGGGGCACTTCACCATCCAGAAAGGGAGCCTGAGTCTCAGGTTACAAGGCAGGGGCGATGGTGCACTTCAGTTCCAGCCTGCTATCCCAGTCCATGGCATCCTGCAAGTAGCTCTGCCAGCGCCCCTCAATCCTGACCTGCAGCCCCCCGCTACTCCATCTCGGGTCTCACCCAGACCTCTGCCAGCGCCCCTCAATCCTGACCTGCACCCCTCCGCTACTCCATCTCGGGTCCCACCCAGAGATCTGCCAGCGCCCCTCAATCCTGACCTGCAGCCCCCCGCTACTCCATCTCGGGTCCCACCCAGACCTCTGCCAGTGCCCCTCAATCCTGACCTGCAGCCCCCCGCTACTCCATCTCGGGTCCCACCCAGAGATCTGCCAGAGCCCCTCAATCCTGACCTGCAGCCCCCGCTACTCCATCTCGGGTCCCACCCAGACCTCTGCCAGCGCCCCTCAATCCTGACCTGCAGCCCCCCGCTACTCCATCTCGGGTCCCACCCAGACCTCTGCCAGCGCCCCTCAATCCTGACCTGCAGCCCCCCGCTACTCCATCTCGGGTCCCACCCAGACCTCTGCCAGCGCCCCTCAATCCTGACCTGCACCCCTCCGCTACTCCATCTCGGGTCCCACCCAGACCTCTGCCAGCGCCCCTCAATCCTGACCTGCAGCCCCCCGCTATTCCATCTCGGGTCCCACCCAGAGATCTGCCAGAGCCCCTCAATCCTGACCTGCAGCCCCCCGCTACTCCATCTCGGGTCCCACCCAGACGTCTGCCAGTGCCCCTCAATCCTGACCTTCACCCCTCCGCTACTCCATCTCGGGTCCCACCCAGACCTCTGCCAGCGCCCCTCAATCCTGACCTGCACCCCTCCGCTACTCCATCTCGGGTCCCACCCAGAGATCTGCCAGAGCCCCTCAATCCTGACCTGCAGCCCCCCGCTACTCCATCTCAGGTCCCACCCAGACGTCTGCCAGCGCCCCTCAATCCTGACCTGCACCCCTCCGCTACTCTGTCTCGGGTCCCACCCAGACCTCTGCCAGCGCCCCTCAATCCTGACCTTCACCCCTCCGCTACTCCATCTCGGGTCCCACCCAGACCTCTGCCAGCGCCCCTCAATCCTGACCTGCAGCCCCTCGCTACTCCATCTTGGGTCCCACCCACAGCTCTGCCAAGTCCCCTCAATCCCAAACCAAGCAACATCTTATAAATATTCCTCTAGATTCCCTACCAGTTCCTTAGGGAAGCCCCCTGCAGATATCCAAGCCAGCTGCTGTAGTGTCCCCTTAGGAGAGGATTGTGGTGAGTGGGGCTGGCTGGCTGGGGGCTGGCTACCACAGTGCAGATGCCCACCCAGCATGGACATGATCAGTCATGCAGGATGTTCCTTCAGCACCAAGTCTTGACGCGTTGATCCCACTGGTCTGAATCCCGCCCACTTCAGTCCAGCTCCTCCCCTGTCTCTGCTTTAGGGTTAGTCCAGACCATAAAGGACCACATCACCAAGCCCACTGCCATGGCTCGTGGCCGGGTGGCCCACCTCATTGAGTGGAAAGGCTGGAGCGCCCCCCAGGTGGGCTGCGAGCCGTGGCTGATGGAGGAAGAGCACTATTCCTACCTCACGGACGAGCTGAGAGAGGCACGCTTTGCAGCAGGTGGGTGGGCAGGGGGGAGCCACTAGGCCAATGATGCTGCAGGGGATAATCTGTGCGGGGGGGAGGGACAGTCAATGCAGCAGCACCGACTCCGCTTGTACAGCGGCGCCCCCTAAAGGGCAGTGACAGGGCACTGCAAATGGCTGGGCACTGGGGCATCCCTTGGGGCGAATGGCCCGTGCCTTTGCCGTGTCCCTCAGCTGTCAGCCGAATGGCAACCCATGCAGAGGACTCCTGGGCCTGACCTGGCTAGAGGTCCCTCAGCCTCACTGCCAGCCAGAGGATCCCAGCACTTTCCATACCGGGATCCCCATATCACACCTCCCCCTGGGAGCAGGGTGCTGGTCCTGGCTGGAGACAGGGCACTGGACTGGATGGAGCGTGGCTGGATCCCCTCTGGGACCTCCTACATCCCGGCGATAGAATTGTGCTGGTTTGCCAGGGGACAAGCCAGACTCCTCCTGCAAACACTGTTCTTCAACCAGATTCGCTCTGATTTCAGTGATGCCAGATTTACCTTGGTGTAGCCAGGTTCAGGACACGGCCCAGTATCAATCCCCTCCCCTTGTAACCTGTCTTTGGTTTCCCACGGTCCTGCCCAGGGGTCGCTGAACAATTCGCCATCACCGAAGCCACCCTGAGCGCCTGGTCCTCACTAGACGATGAGGAAATGAATTACGGGGGCAGCTCCCAGGAGATCGTACAGCTTCAAGGTACCTTCCCCCTTCTCTCTGCCATGAGCAGCCCTGCAGGGCTCCTGGTGCTCCCCAGCCCTCCCTGCATGTAACAGATTCAGGAGGGTCCCTCGGGGCCATCCTTGCTGGTGACCTGCATCAGTCAGGTGTGGATCCCTGGCTCCATGTCTGTCATCTTGCTCCAAGGGGGATGTTTGGGCAGCTGGGGCCATGGAGCACAGAGACAGCCTGGCCACCTCCCCCTCCCCTGCACTAGGCCAATGCTGGGGGATCCCCTTCCACAAGCCCAGAGTGACACCCAGAGCGGAGGGCAGGACTGGGGCCCTGGATGGACCGAGGACCCAGCAACTCCAGCTGGAGCTGCGGGTGATCAGTGCCTCAAGGAATCAGGTGTCTCAAGCTGGGCACCCAGGATTGGTGGCCACTCCCGAAAGTGTTAACCTTGCCCGTTCTCCAGGCCCTGCCAGCTGACAATAGCCTGCCCTGCTGAGTCCCCACAAACACTCTTCCCCTCCCCGGCTTTGCTTTCAGACCTGGAGAGCATCTACCTGCAGGAGAAGCTGCTGCTGAGTCCCCAGGTGATAAGTAGCCCCAACCTGGAAGGCAGCCTGCCCGCCTGCTCCTCCTCCACACACACCTCCCCAATACCCTGGGTGGGTGGAACTCTATCCACCCCTTCCCCGGGGCTCTCCCCTGCGGCTCTCCCCAGACCGGGAGCTCCCAGGCAGACAGCTCGGAGAAGGAGCAGGCCTGCGTGGGGAGAAGGCAGGAGGGCATGACCAGCGCCTGCCAGAAGTGGCTCAGCAACTCCCTGCACGATGTGGACAGCAGCTCCCTCTCGGAGGAGGACGAAGTGTTTTATAACTAGATCTCCCACCCCTCCTCGGGACAGGAAGTGGGGATGGGGTTGCCCTGAGGATGGAGCGAGGGGTCCTGCCCAGAGGGCTAGTTCCAGCTCCCTGGATGCTGCTGGGAGCAGTGATTAGAAGCTGCTATTGGTTTGACACACTATGGCAAAGCACCACCAAGAGCATCCCTCCTAATAGTGGCCGCTGGGGCTACCTGGGGGGCTGGGACTGCCGGGCCATAGGCAGCCCTAGCCCTTTAGAGGCGGCATTTGCTGGACTGTCGCCATTTGCACCAAGTTTGGGGATTAGATCGATTTTCCTTCGGCCAAGGCTACTGATCTGCGTTGAGTAGAATCGCTGTAAGACCCAGACATGTTCCGTCCCCCGGTGGGTTCCCCGAGGGCTGGGACAGTGGGGGGAGCCGGGGAAGCATCCAATCCGAGCGTGTTCAGTGTCTGTGCTTCAGGTGGGAGTCCATCCGTGGCGCTCTCAGCTAGCCACGTGAGCGTGTGGTCTGTGTGCAAGCCGGCACACGACACTTTGGCTTCTTGTCTTGATGTAGTTGGGACGAGCTCCTGGCTGGTTTAACATGAGCGCATCTCTGTGCTTCCCCCTGCAATTCCAGCTCACCGCAGAGATGTGTTCTCAAGCCACTTGGGGCCAGGGGCTTTGGCGTTTGGCTAGTGAGGGGCTGGCTTGTACTAGGAAGTCACCCTGGTCTCTGAGGCTGGGAGTTTCAAAGGCGCCTGAGGGGGTTAGATACCCAAATTCCATCAAGGCAGAGGGATGGGGGATTCCATCTAGTTCCCATAAACTCTTGCAAATCCCAGCCTAAAGGCGGAAATGCTACAAACCCAGTCAGTTTGGTCCTTCCTCCTTACAGGACCATAGTTAATTTCCAGGGCCCAGCTGCCATGTGGATGCTAGTTACGCCCCACACCAACAGCCATGCTCCATCACTGTGCTGCAGCCTTGAGTAGGGCCGGGACACATCACGGTTCGGGGACAATGGGGTTAGGTTCAACCTAGATTACGTGACAGGCCCTTCCTCCAAACCCACCCCCCACAATTGCTGTGCACAGCTGGCTTTGATTCTCTGATCTCAAACGTTTGGATGGCTCTGTGGGCAGGCCCTACGGCTGCTCCCACCCTCCCTCGGGCACATACCATCGTTCACCCATTTTGGGAGAGGGAGAGGAGGGAAGGGGGAATGGTACGAATGAGAAAAATCTCAGCTAGCCCACTGGGGGCAGGGGGAATAGGGGACAGGTGAATGTTATATTTTAATTGAAAAGGCTTTTTTGGCATCGCTACTCCTGGCACCTCTGGCAGGGTCCCACCCCACCCCTGCATCCTGCAGGATTTCCTCCCATGCAGGGTGCTTCTTTAAAGGGGGGGACTGTAAAGAAGGCGGCTGGTATGTGCAACGGCTGTCACTTCTGGGAGCCGCTGCCTCCTCTTAGGGCTGGCCCTAAGACCACCTCCCTGCCCAGCCAGCCGCTGTCCAGCCCGGCGCTGGGTGCTTTGCAACCTCACTGGTTCCTAATGTTGCGTGGAGGCTGTGTGCACCTTAGCAACGCTTCCTGCGTCAGCGGGAACAAGGGGAGGGGGTCCCCCGGGGGGGGGCAGGATGCAACGGCCGTGACACCTTTTCCCCTCCATGGTCCGTGTCCCCAGAGAAATACAAAGGATCAATAGCTCCGCACCGGCCGGCCCTCGTCTCTGATTTACAGCACGCCGTGAGTGGGAACAATGGATTTCAAAGGAGGCTCCCCCGTCCCCTGCTGTGTAGGCCACAACAGCCTGGCTGCCCTGGGGATGGTCTAGGCTGAGCTTCCGCTACAGACAGGCAAGGGGTGGTCTGGCTCCTCAGGGCTTGTGCGAGCTTGTTTCTGACTCAAACTGCACCCTGGCAGTTAGGGAGTGATTAAAGGCAGCACATCACGTTACAGGAGAATCCAGCGCAGGCAGGTCTGTGATGAACCCAGACGTACACGACAGGAACTGGGGCCTTTCACTGCCCGAAGCACAGGCCCCTGCCCCTTGAACTCAAGGAGCATCTCTTCTCGGGCTTGCTAAGTAGCAGATTCTTGTCCCACTGGGCCCAGCCCAGAGAGGGCAGCAAGCACTAAATTCAGGATGGTGCATGCACATTTCACATTGCACTATACACTGCAGCCTTGGTTTGCCCTCTGCACTGACAGTCTGTGGCCCAAGTTGTTTGTCCCTGTGTAGCTGTGTGTTATTGTGTCTCCAGGGTGGGTGAGGGCTGCCAGCGGCTGGCAGGCTCCCCGGGGCAGAGAGGTCCAGGTTTTGCCTCTGCTCTCACAACTGTGGCTCCTTGTGGCAGGAGCAGGAAGGGCGGGGAAGCTTTCAAATCCATTTCCATTTACAAAAAATAATTGGGGAGACCCACGTAAGAGGCGGGGGCTCCTGCCAGCCCTGCCCCCCCTGCTGCTGAGATCTCAGTGCCCCAGCGAGATCCCCTGTCCCACGCTCCGCTGCACAGAAGGGGGAAGGGGCTGCTGTCCCAGGCTCCAAATTGCTCACTTCAGCGTCTTCGGATTTGCCAGGTCTTCAATCGCCTTCTTCATCTGGAAGAGAAAGCGGCAGGTGGGCAAGGCCAAGCCCCCGCCTGGCTCCATGCTCCCCCCAGCCCCGGGGAATCGATAGCCACTGAGTCACCTCCTCAATGCCCATTCCTTTCCCAATCCAGGATGGGTCCTTGAGCTCCTGGCCAGCAGCTCTCTGGTCAGCCCTTCTCCCCCAGCCCCCGATTCCTCGCTGGCCCCAGCCCTTACCTCGCGCCGAGAGATGGCCCCGACGAGCCGCCCCAAGGAGGTGACGAAGACACGCTGCATGCTCAGCAGTTCAAACAGGGTGTGAGCCTGGAAGGGAATGAGAAGCGAGTGTGACGTGGGAGGGCAGCGCCGTCCAGATCTCGGCAGAGCCCTCCCCCCCCGCCCCGTCGGTTCCCTCTTCACATGGAGATGGCAGGGCCTACACAAGCCTGGAGCTGCCCAGAGCCCTTCCTCCCAGGCCCTCTTCCCACCCAGTTACCTGGTGCAGAGATGTCCAAGGTGACAGCTGGAGGGTTATTGGCTCGATGGTGCAGTCGTCCCCCAGCGTCCCGTTGGAGCGAGGCTGTCGGGGAAGACAACGGAGAGTGGGCATTGGCAGACCTGAGGAGGCCATCGCAGTGGTACCACTTTCGAAGAGCACTCTCGGGGGCGTGTCCCACCCACGCGCTGCCTCCCATGGGGACAGGACTCGGTGAAGTGCCTTTGCGGTCTGATACCTTACGGATTGCAAGGTGCTGCCCCTTTAAGAGGGTGGAGCCTCAGCATAGAATCATAGAATCATAGAATATCAGGGTTGGAAGGGACCCCAGAAGGTCATCTAGTCCAACCCCCTGCTCAAAGCAGGACCAATTCCCAGTTAAATCATCCCAGCCAGGGCTTTGTCAAGCCTGACCTTAAAAACCTCTAAGGAAGGAGATTCTACCACCTCCCTAGGTAACGCATTCCAGTGTTTCACCACCCTCTTAGTGAAAAAGTTTTTCCTAATATCCAATCTAAACCTCCCCCCACTGCAACTTGAGACCATTACTCCTCGTTCTGTCATCTGCTACCATTGAGAACAGTCTAGAGCCATCCTCTTTGGAACCCCCTTTCAGGTAGTTGAAAGCAGCTATCAAATCCCCCTCATTCTTCTCTTCTGCAGGCTAAACAATCCCAGCTCCCTCAGCCTCTCCTCATAACTCATGTGTTCCAGACCCCTAATCATTTTTGTTGCCCTTCGCTGGACTCTCTCCAATTTATCCACATCCTTCTTGAAGTGTGGGGCCCAAAACTGGACACAGTACTCCAGATGAGGCCTCACCAATGTCGAATAGAGGGGAACGATCACGTCCCTCGATCTGCTCGCTATGCCCCTACTTATACATCCCAAAATGCCATTGGCCTTCTTGGCAACAAGGGCACACTGCTGACTCATATCCAGCTTCTCGTCCACTGTCACCCCTAGGTCCTTTTCCGCAGAACTGCTGCCTAGCCATTCGGTCCCTAGTCTGTAGCTGTGCATTGGGTTCTTCCGTCCTAAGTGCAGGACCCTGCACTTATCCTTATTGAACCTCATCAGATTTCTTTTAGCCCAATCCTCCAATTTGTCTAGGTCTTTCTGTATCCTATCCCTCCCCTCCAGCGTATCTACCACTCCTCCCAGTTTAGTATCATCCGCAAATTTGCTGAGAGTGCAATCCACACCATCCTCCAGATCATTTATGAAGATATTGAACAAAACCGGCCCCAGGACCGACCCTTGGGGTACTCCACTTGATACCGGCTGCCAACTAGATATGGAGCCATTGATCACTACCCGTTGAGCCCGACAATCTAGCCAGCTTTCTACCCACCTTGTAGTGCATTCATCCAGCCCATACTTCCTTAACTTGCTGACAAGAATACTGTGGGAGACCGTGTCAAAAGCTTTGCTAAAGTCAAGAAACAATACATCCACTGCTTTCCCTTCATCCACAGAACCAGTAATCTCATCATAAAAGGCGATTAGATTAGTCAGGCATGACCTTCCCTTGGTGAATCCATGCTGGCTGTTCCTGATCACTTTCCTCTCATGCAAGTGCTTCAGGATTGATTCTTTGAGGACCTGCTTCATGATTTTTCCAGGGACTGAAGTGAGGCTGACTGGCCTGTAGTTCCCAGGATCGTCCTTCTTCCCTTTTTTAAAGATTGGCACTACATTAGCCTTTTTCCAGTCATCCAGGACTTCCCCGGTTCGCCACGAGTTTTCAAAGATAATGGCCAATGGCTCTGCAATCACAGCCGCCAATTCCTTCAGCACTCTCGGATGCAACTCGTCCGGCCCCATGGACTTGTGCACGTCCAGCTTTTCTAAATAGTCCCTAACCACCTCTATCTCCACAGAGGGCTGGCCATCTCTTCCCCATTTTGTGATGCCCAGCGTAGCAGTCTGGGAGCTGACCTTGTTCGTGAAAACAGAGGCAAAAAAAGCATTGAGTACATTAGCTTTTTCCACATCCTCTGTCACTAGTTTGCCTCCCTCATTCAGTAAGGGGCCCACACATTCCTTGGCTTTCTTCTTGTTGCCAACATATCTGAAGAAACCCTTCTTGTTACTCTTGACATCTCTGGCTAGCTGCAGCTCCAGGTGCGATTTGGCCCTCCTGATAACATTCCTACATGCCCGAGCAATATTTTTATACTCTTCCCTGGTCATATGTCCAACCTTCCACTTCTTGTAAGCTTCTTTTTTATGTTTAAGATCCGCTAAGATTTCACCATTAAGCCAAGTTGGTCGCCTGCCATATTTACTATTCTTTCGACTCATCGGGATGGTTTGTCCCTGTAACCTCAACAGGGATTCCTTGAAATACAGCCAGCTCTCCTGGACTCCTTTCCCCTTCAAGTTAGTCCCCCAGGGGATCCTGGCCATCCGTTCCCTGAGGGAGTCGAAGTCTGCTTTCCTGAAGTCCAGGGTCCGTATCGTGCTGCTTACCTTTCTTCCCTGTGTCAGGATCCTGAACTCAACCAACTCATGGTCACTGCCTCCCAGATTCCCATCCACTTTTGCTTCCCCCACTAATTCTACCCGGTTTGTGAGCAGCAGGTCAAGAAAAGCGTCCCCCCTAGTTGGCTCCTCTAGCACTTGCACCAGGAAATTGTCCCCTACGCTTTCCAAAAACTTCCTGGATTGTCTATGCACCGCTGTATTGCTCTCCCAGCAGATATCAGGAAAATTAAAGTCACCCATGAGAATCAGGGCATGCGATCTGGTAGCTTCCGTGAGCTGCCGGAAGAAAGCCTCATCTACCTCATCCCCCTGGTCCGGTGGTCTATAGCAGACTCCCACCACTACATCACTCTTGTTGCACACACTTCTAAACTTAATCCAGAGACACTCAGGTTTTTCTGCAGTTTCGTACCGGAGCTCTGAGCAGTCATACTGCTCCCTTACATACAGTGCTACTCCCCCACCAGCAGTGGGTGTGGTCTCAGCAGGGTGTCAGCGGTGATATTGACGTAGGGTTGAACGCCCCCCCAAGCCTCTTGCCTGGGCCTCAGTGTCAGCACATCGCAGCCTGAGGCACTGAACCCCCCATTGCAGACTGGTCTCTCCAAAGGGGTACGGCTCCGGGAGGGCCCCGGGTGTGACATGGAGCCACCCAGCGGTCTTGGAAGGAAACTGGGACTGACCCATGGTGGCCACCTGCCCTGCCCTTGCTAGACTGGAGCAAGCGCCCTAATGGACTGCACTGAACAATCCGTCCCAGGCTGCCGGGACCGAAGAGCCTCTCCCATCACTAAGGTGGGGCTGACCGGACGGAGGGGACGACCTGCAGCCTCTAACCCAGGGATCTCACCAGTTCCCTCCCAGGTCTCGTTCCCCTAAACCTCCACCCTCTCTGTGCTAAGAGCTGCTGGCTGGAGGGGCCATGTAGGCAGCAGGGGGATGAGTTCTCTGAACCTACCTTCTCCCCTGGCTCCTGGGGGGACAGCTTGGCTTCATCGTGGGTCTGGAGGTACCTGATCAACTCAGCTCTTTGCACCATGCCCACCAGCATCAAAGACTCTGTAGGAGAAGGAGACAGGAGGTGGGAGGAGGAGCTGGATGGGTGGCTCAGATCCCTGGCACTGGCTGACCATTTCATGGTCATGGGCCCAGGCTGATGGCACATCCCTGCCCACCACGAGGGCTGTGTCCAGGGAGGCAGCTCCATGCCGTGGGCTCCGTTAAGCCATGGATGCTCCTCCACCAAGGTAAGGCTGCTCATGTCACTGGCTTGCTCCCACCCGTCCGGCCCGGGGCCCTCAGTAGCAAGGAGAAATGCCAGCCATGTCAATCAAAGGGAACCACTCCAGATGCTCCATCCCTGCCAGACTAGGAAGCAGGCTTGTCTCTCGCTGCCCAGGGCAGCAGGGCCCAGCTCCAGGGAAAAGGGAGAGGGGCGGGGGAGGGAAGGAGAGACAGAGATGGCCATGGGGCTGCGGGACAGAGAGAAGAAGCGGAAGGGCCAGCAGGACCCGTGGCCCCAACTCTGGGCACTGTGTGGCATGGTACCTGTGCTCTCCACAATGGGGTACTCCAGGTCGTCGGTAGAGGTCACAACACTGAGGATCTCCTCAAAGCTGGCGCCCTTGGCCAGGACTGCAAAGTGGGTGTTCATGAACTGGTCAGTGGTCACCCTGTAGGAGCTGGGGGTAGAAGGGCCAAAGGTCAGCCAGGAAAAAGGGGAGAGAGCTCTCCTCTGACCCAGCACCGAGGCCTCTGGACAACCATCACCACAGGGGGGCTGGTGTAAGCCAGAGCCAGGAACCTCAGACTCATGCAGGGATGGCGTGGGAGCTGAGGACCCTGTGGTTGATCTGTTATTAACCCACGGTACACCAGGGCTACTCTCCTGCCTCAGCTCTGTCTCTGTGCCAGGCGCTGCATTCGCTACCCAGCCGGGGTGGTGTGGGCCTCCCTCCCCTCCAGCTCTAGCTGCCTGCCTAACCTGCCCCTCTTGCACCGCTGCCAACCCAGCACCAGGCCAGCAGAGATGCCCCTCCCAGGGGTATAGCAGACTCCCTATAGGGTGGCAGCAGCGTCTCCCCAGGGGCTTACCCGATGTGTCGGCTCCTGATCCGGGGCAGATAGGGCAACTTCTTCACGATGATGGTGCCGTCGTAGAAGGAGGGCTGGAACTTCTGGGCTATTGCGTTGGCAACCAGCACAGCCAGGATGACGGGCAGGATATGGGCAATCTGCCCAGTCACTTCAAAGGCCAGCAGGGCAGTGGACAGGGTGTGGGTGACTGAGCCCGAAAATGCTGCCGCCCCTGCCAGAAGGACAATACAAAGGGCACTGATCTCTCAGTGCTGTCCAGCGGGGGGATCTGCCAGGGAGCTCGTGTCCAGCTCCCAGATCCTCCTGCATCATTCTCTCAGGCTGTCATACCTTGCCAGCCATGGCGGAGCTGTGTCCAGCCCCCCTGAGCTGGAGTTGGGCTCCTAGCACACCAGGCCTTTGGGAAGGGAAAGGAATGGGGGAAGGCAGAAAGATCCTGGAGACCACCCTAGAAATATGGGGTAATACACTAAATTCTGGAGCCACCCTGCAAAGGCACCTACCACTGCAGTCTCATTGGTCATTCAAAGCCTCTCACCAGGCTCCTGAGTTGAGGTCTCGTGCTAGAGACTTACCTGCCAGTGCGTAGCCTCCCGGAGTGATGGTGTTAACTACGCCGTTCGACTGAATACCATGAGGGAAGAGAAAGGCGACCACTTCCCCCACCAAACGCCCGATTGCAGCGCCTGGGAAAACATTCACCACTGGAATCCAGCCGCTCGGATCTAAAGGTCAGGGACTCACGTTCCCACCTCCCAGTGGGCCCCTCTGGGACAGAAGCACAAAGGCCCAGGATTTGTTGAGTGTATGTGCCACCGGAGAAGGAACCAAAGTTCCCAGGAGCCAGGGGTGGATCTTGCTGATCTAAGCACTTGCTGCTTTCCCCTCTCTCCACAACCCTTCTGCAGGGCAAGGGCTCTGAGTGTCAAGAGATCCCAGCAGCCTCCTCTTAGCTCTGAGTGATAAAGGGCTGGTCCAGTTGGCAGCCCTTATTCCCTGTTATGGTAATAAGGACAATCAAATGGTCCAATCAGAAATGGGTGCAAGGGCAGGGTGAAGCGGTCTCACCGTATACAAAGAGCGGCATGAAGTATCCAGCTGGCATAGGCATGGTGGTGGCCAAGATCAGCATCCAGAACTTGAATGAACGAGAGAGCGGGAGCGAGTGAGACATCCACCCACGTGCACCCACTCCACCCATCCCTAGCCCGCGATGGTGGGGGTGGGGTGTCTAGCCACCAAACCAGTTTGCAGAATCCTCCATCCAGAGGCAGGCCCTGCTCTGCACATACACCCTGCACATTACCACGTCAAGGTGCACAGCCATACCCTCATCGCCCAGAGGTGACAGCTCTGCCAGGGGACCCAAAAGGAAGCCTTCCCCTGGACTGGCTAGGAGGAGCTGTGCTGAGCTGTTCTCAGCTGACCTGGCCAAACATTACATGGGAGATCTGGTTCTTCTGGCCCTCAGGTCCTTGCCAAATGACACAGAGAGGGAGCACAGGAGTTGCTGGCTACACTTCCCCTTCATAGAATACCAGGGTTGGAAGGGACCTCAGGAGGTCATCTAGTCCAACCCCCTGCTTAAAGCAGGACCGATCCCCGACTAAATCATCCCAGCCAGGGCTTTGTCAAGCATGACCTTAAAACCCTCTGAAGAAGGAGATTCCACCACCTCCCTAGGTAGGAGGGATCCATTATTGCATTGGCTGGGGATCAAACCCAGGTCAACTGCTTAGAAGGCAGCTACACTCACCACTCTACCACCAACACAACTGGTATAAATGGCAAGATTCACACAAGAGTAACAGGGACATTTCCTCAACAGGAACCAGAGACTTCTCCTCCTAGGCCCTTCACGAGGGCACTCTCCCTCCGCCCAGTGCACATGGCACAACCTTGGAGCCCTCTGGTTACTCAACAGGAGCTGCCACCTTGTATCCCCTATCAGACTCCACTGGGTCCTTGACTTTCCTCTCCCACCTCTGCTCCACGAGGCTGCATGTTCTTGGCTCTCCCTAAAGGTTCTAGAGGTCGATCCAGCAAGGGGCTGAGCACTCCCAGCTCCACAGAGCACTGAGGTTCCTGTAGAATCAGACCCATGGTACCCATTCTCACGGAGACCTCGACAGGACCAATACCTTCATCACCAGGAACAGCGCCAGGCTGCCATAAATGGTGATTCTGGGCTCCCACCACTCAATCCACAGGTTTTCAGGGTCGACTTGAGGAGGCCTGGCCAGCGATGCATTCTGGGACAGAAGGCCCCACGTCTGGTTGTCGAAGAGGGAGGTGAGGTGCTCCTTCATGCTGAGCTGGGAAAGGAGACAGGTCGAAGCACTTCCCCGCACAGGAGGAGGAGATGCTGTGAATCACTATCGTGCTCAGACATAGTCTGATTCTCTTATCACCCGCACTGGTGTAAAGCAGGAGTAGCTCCATAGATAGATGTCAGGAGAGTGAAGGCGTACAACTGGCCCCAGCCTGCTATACCTACTAGCTGTATTAAGCCTGGAAGACCAGACTGATGGAAAATACAGGCTTCAGGGGACTGCTGCCCTGCCAGAGGGGTCTTGGGTGGGAGACAGAGAGGATCTAGGGTGTGGGCTGAGGAGTCTGGAGACAGGAGCCATAGATGCAGCCAACCTGGGGAGAAGGTTGGAGTTGGACTTTAGTGAGAAGATGACAATTTACTTTGTTAGTAAAGCCAGACCCCAAGAAGGGGGGAGTTGGTCTCTCCACAGTGTCGCCTGTCTTTCAGAGCTGGTTGGGAAAGGCTTCTGCTCTCCACCCTGGAGTGAGTGCTTAGATCCCCACTGGTCAGAGAACAGGCGAGGGGATCCCGAGATAGGCCAGTACTTACCCTGGATGCCATGAAGTACCCCAGGCTGGGAGGGAATGTGATGGAGGCGAGCAGGAGGGCCACCAGGGAGGAATAAATGGGCTTGCTGAAAAAGACAGATCAGTGACATGTAACATCACACGGTGACCCTGGAATGGGGCTCTCTGAACTACAGAAGAAAGGGAGGGTCAGGGAGATGGCAGGTCACACAGGCTGGGTAGCCAAGCTGCAATGGGCCCATGAATTCTCCGCTAGGGTGAAAAGCCAGCAAAGGTTCTGGAGCAGGAGGGAGGTTTCCTTTCCCTCCTGCAGCAGAGGAGGAGGAGACAAACCATCCCCTTGTGGGCAGCGCAGGAGCCGAGCAGGCAGAGAAAGCTCCAGCATGGAGCCTTTGCTGCCAGCAGTTGGTTAGGAGGGAACAAATAGGCAGGCACATGCCAGTGCCTCTTGGGGACTGAGCCAAGGGAACAGGATGGATGTGGTGAAAGATGACATCCAGGGCAGCACGGAGGGTGCTGGAGGGACAAGGAGGGATACAGGGCGTGGGCAGAGAAGATCTTCGGCCACACACATGGCTTGCATGCCTCCCGTCCTGCTGCAATTTGGGAACAGCCCCCACGGCCGAGAACACCCCTCCCTCCAGAACGCCTACTCTGTAGCCAGCAGCTTGGCGGTGATCATGTTCCTCCGGACGTATCCCAGGAGCCAGCGCTGACAGAAGAGATACGCACAGCTTAGAACCCCACAGATCCCCCTGCCGAGAGAAGAGAACGAAAAGCAGGAATTACCCCCCACTTCTCCCCCGAGAGCAGCCGGCGTCCACCAAGACAGTCAGAGATCTGCACACGGGTGGATTCAAGGGTGATTTCATTACCAGGCATATTCGTGGAGTAGCATAAAGAAACCATGAATGTAGCTATTCCTAGGTTTGGCTAGTGACTATCTACGGCACCTCCCAGCTCTTCATAGATTTCATCCTCACGCACCCGGTGCAGTAGGGCACTGCTTGTGTGTCCATTGTATAGATGGCAGAGTGTTGTCTCAGTAACTTGCCCACAGCAGCTGCAGGTTTGCCAGGCCCCAGGGCAGCAAGCTATCCACTGGGCTGGTCCCCCCTTCCTTTGAAAGTGACACCTCTGCACCGAACAAAAGAAAACCAGACCAGACTGGGCCTGCTCTTACCCGAGCACCATGAAGAAGAACGTCTCTGGGAGATCAAAGGGGAAATCAATCTTAAAATTGGTCTTGAATAGAGCAGTGATGGTTTCTGAGAAAAAGAGTCAAAAGTCACAACCATGGACACCCCAGGCCAATTCGACACGCACCCTCCAGTTCTATTAGCATTAGTCACAGGAGCGGCAGAAGCACCCTAAAAGTGGAGGGGCCACAGGCGTCCGAACCATGGCCCCGTCCCTGCCTTGCCCCCTGAACCCCTGTGCTCACACTGCCTCTTCCCCTGAGGGTCGAGGCCCGAGGCCCTGCTCCTGTGCCGTCCCTTCCCTCCAAGACCCCGCCACCCTCTTGCTCCTCTCTGCCCTCGTCGTTCACTCTTACCGCTGGGAAAAAGGGGGGGGCATGGCCACTGGCCCCCGTTCTGGTGCCCTGATTAGCCAATAGGGAGCGGAGTGTATATCACAGACTCCCGTGGTGCGGCAGCAGCTGGACTGTGCCAGCAGACTGGCCCGAGTGACGCTGGGACGAGGGCAAACCAGAACCCAGCCACCATGATGACATGATATTTGCATCCCCAACTGCGCAACAAAGAATGTTACCTCCTGACCCACAGCCCGGAAGAGCCCACCCCACCAGTGGAAGATGATTCCCAGCCATGTGTCGGGGGGATGCCACCAGCCCTCCTTCTTCCACAGGCCCCACGGACGGGTTCTCAGAGCATAGCTCTGAGGCTAGGGCACCAGCGCAAGCCAGCCAGCAGTGTTGGGGGTTAGCTTGGCTGGCTGCTTTGGATTTCCAGGTGGAGCTGGCATCTCACAGCCTCCTAAGACATGCTAGCAGCATCCGGCACTCTCCCCCGCCGAGTCTCTAAACTGATCCTTTCGGTGTGACTCAGACTCTGTCCTGTTCTTTGACAGTTTAAAGGCCAGGGGAGAAATGAGGTGACTTTTGATGCTCATAAAACTGCGGGAGACAGAAACACATCTGGGTCTCTGCAGCCTGCCCACACACAGCTCTTCCCAGGCACCTCAGCCGTGACCTGCAGCCCCCCCATCTCAGCCCCCTGTTCCAGTCCACAGACACGGCTCTGCAGATGCCACTCAACCCTGACCTGTGGTGGCACCAACCGCAGCCAATTGGGCCAATGGCCTGTGCTTTTATACTGCGAACAAACAGCCGTTAGAGTCTGGCCTGGCAGAGTCATTTCAGATCCAATGCTGCAAATTGACACAGGTTACGAGCCTCATTCAGGCTGCCTGGGATGCTTTTGGCTAACACTACAGGTGGCTTTATCAATTTTTTTCAAGCAGGGCCATGTCTGAAATTGCACCGCTGGGGTCCAGACCATGCTATAACAGACCATGGTTCTGTCAGCAGCATCCAGGACATAAACGATGCATCATGCACTGTTAACAAGCTGATTTTAGCAGGATAAAGGACCAATACTCAGCCCAGAGCCTGCCAGTCTGCTTTCAAAGATCAGTGTCTTTTGCTGGGTTGTTCTGACCTCAGTCAGGGGAAAGATGAATTCTTTTCTAATCCAGGATTTTGTTTAAAAAAAGAAATGTCATTCTGCCTGAATGGAGCACCTTTCATCCTGATGGATAGCAAGCACTCTGCAAACTACAGACTGCTTTACAAAGGAATCTTTCAACCACCATTAAAATGCAGCCACTTCTGGGGTGGGCACAGCACGTGACAAAAGCACACCCACAACACTTTTGGGTAGGGAGAGGAGAATACCGAATGCAAGGTGCAGGAGGTATATAATAAGATAGAATGTAACTAGCTGAGTTCCTTCCCCTTGTTCCTTCTGATTTAAAGAGGACTCTCATCTCTTAGGTATTGCAGAGCTGGAACTAATAGGACCCACCCAATCTGACTGCCAGTGTGAATCAGCAGAATAACTCTGCACTGTAGCTGTAGCTTCTGACACAATCTCCCAGCCAAAGTCTCACTTCCAAGTTCTGACCCAGTCTGATGCTGCTTATTTCATAGGCTCCCAACACAAGGCGGTAGGGCCAGTAGTCTGGAGGAGGGATATTTCAGTAGGGTGACCAGATGTCCCATTTTTATAGGGACAGTCCCAATTTTTGGGTCTTTTTCTTATATAGGCTCCTATTACCCCCCACCCCGTCCTGATTTTTCACTTTTGCTGTCTGGTCACCCTATATTTCAGGGATGGGGCAGCCCAGCTGTGCACATGGATACCCATGTGTGGTTTGAACTTCTCTTCACTCGTGGGCCATCCCATCAGTCCTGGTGCCCCGCTCCGATGGCTCAGCCAGCGCCACTCCCTGTACCTTGCTCACTGTTGAAGACGGCAAGCAGGCGGAACATGAAGGCTCCACAGGTGGCAGAGAAGAAGCCTCTCCAATAGTCCCTGACCGCAAAGTGGGATGACATCACCTCAATGCTGAACAGGACCCCTGGGGAAATAGAGGTCTCAGGTTACTGGGATGGCAAATGAGAGGCAACAACTCACGTTAGGCATCTGAGCAGGCCCTGGGTGAGCTGGATGCAGCCAGCAGCCAGAGCAGACCCAGACTGAGCCAGGTGCTTGTGCCTTATCTCCTGGCAAACTCTCAAGTGCTTATTAAATTTTATGCCCTGGGGAAAACATACAGCATCAAAGGCCCAGATCCTCACACCAGGAGTCTGGGCCGTTCACAAAGAGGCCACTTAGACTCCTCCACCTCCAGCACCGCTGACGATGGTGTTACGGGATGGAGAGGAGATGCTAATCTTTGAAGTGCAGAGGAGTCCCCCAACCTGCTGCTGTGAGGCCACTGCCAATTTGGTGTCTCAGTGCCGATGCAACATGTTACAGAGCAAGGCAGTGTGCGCTCTCACCCTTGGAGACTTTATATTCGTTCTTTCTTTGTCCGTTACTTTCTTTAATCTGAAATAAAAGTCCCTCAGGCTGAGCAATACATAGCTGCTGTCAGCGTAGGGGGAAAACACAACACTGGAGACTTAGCAATGCAAGAAGGGACTGATTTAAAGAGTCGTTTCATTGACATCAAAGGCCTTTGGAGCAGGCCCTCGGATAGCTCCAAATCTATTCTGCATCTAGTGACAGAAATTCCAGCAGGGACATTGTTTCCACCTGCTGCTGCTGGAGATCTCAGTTCTGAGCTCTTCTCCTCAAAGGACCCACATTAGGGTTCGTACTGTTGAATTTTAAAAGGGGTTTTACAGAACCTAATACACATAGAAACATTTCCCTGGCTTTCCAGGTAGGGTCATCATGGTTTTGCCACCTGGTTTTCCTTCTTAAGAGACATCTCACCTTCCCGGGGGCTCTCTTCTGGGTAGTCCCATTCGCAGTTCAGGGCAGACACGATCTGCCATTTTGGCCAAGGTGCCATTTTGTTCTGAGTTACTGACTCTCCACAGTAACACGATCAATTGCTATTCATTTAGCAACAGCAGAAAGGGTGTGAAGACAACAGGAGGTGAATTCCTACCTCCCTGCTGGCTCCAAAAGCACCAGCCTTATAGGAAAGGTAAGAGGGAAATTGGCAAGGTGGGGTAGGGTGCAAGGAGCACCAATGGGAACAGAGCGAGGCAGAGCAGAGCCAGTTGGGGCCAGGACTGCTGTATTGTTCGCCAGCAGGGTTTGAAGCCAAGATTTTCGGCACCAAAGAACAGATCTTGACCATATGAGATACTCTATTGGCTAGCACCAATAGAAGGCTGTTATCCTCTGTGTCAGGGGTTCCCAACGGTGGTACACATACCCCTGGGGGTACACAAGGCATCTTGGGGGGTACGCAGGAGCTTTAAAACTCTGTGGGAATTTGTTATATAAAACACGGTAATTAACGTATTTCAAGATGTACCAATGAGAACACAAATACACAGAGACACTGATGTATAGAGCCCTCCCCGCCAATCACCATACCGCGCAGGTTCAGTTGCCCAGCAACAGCCCAGTCTAACTGAGCTCAGAACTGAGGGGGGTGTTCGGCTGTATACGTTGCACTATAACTATATCTGTACATAACAGTGACATATGGACAGGTGGCTAAAGACAGCTGGTGGTAAGATGACCACACAAAGTATCAGTGATGAGAAGGGTAGGGGTAAGCAGGCAGCCAGTGGTTGCTCCGGCAGGCGGTACGGGGGCAGTGGTGGTTGCTCCGGCAGGCGGTACGGGGGCAGCCGGTGGTTGCTCCGGCAGGCGGTACGGGGGCAGCCGGTGGTTGCTCCGGCAGGCGGTACGGGGGCAGTGGTGGTTGCTCCGGCAGACGGTACGGGGGCAGCCGGTGGTATGCGGTATGCGGCTGTACCCCCTGCCGGAGCAACCACCGGCTGCCCCCGTACTGCCTGCTGGAGCAACCACCGGCTGCCCCCATACTGCCTGCCGGAGCAACCACTGGCTGCCCCCATACTGCCTGCTGGAGCAACCACTGGCTGCCCCCGTACTGCCTGCCGGAGCAACCACCGGCTGCCCCGGTGTCCCCTGCCGGAGCTACCACCGGTTGCCCCAGTGCCCCCGGCCAGAGCTACCACTGGCTGCCTCCGTACCGGCTGCCGGAGCAACCACCGGCTGCTCCGGCAGGCAGTACGGGGGCAGCCGGTGGTTGCTCCGGCAGGCAGTATGGGGGCAGCCGGTGGTTGCTCCGGCAGGGGGTACAGCGCAATAAGAAAAGTTTGGGAACCTCTGCTGTGTGACCCAGCTGGTGAGGGGAGGCATCACACACTCCACCAGCATGTGACACTGTCCCCACCCCTTCCACCCCCCCGGGTCATGCCAGTTGCACTCTTACCGCTAATGGGAGCCCCGAAGACGGTCGCGACTCCTACAGCAGCGGCTGCCACCAGCATCTCCGTCTGCTTGCTTTTGTTCTGGAACGGAGACACATGCAGAGCAGGGTGGTTTGCCTCAGACTTTAGGACTCGCAGGGAGTCCCACTATGCTGCCAGCGGGGATCAGTCGATAAGGGCAACCCTGGGGAGAGGGGTGTATTACCCCCTCCCTGAGTCCCCTCTCATCTCACCAGCAGGCAGTGGCCCCATTCTCCACCTTACCTCATACTCCCCAACGACAGACATTTGGATCTTTCCTAAATACGCTGCGATCATGCTGGAGAGGTGCACAAAGGGGCCCTGGAGGAGAGGAGGAGTTGGGTGCTCAGTGGTTTGCACGAAGAGCAGAGACTCTCTAAAGGGCAGTGGCTTCCTTCGAGAGTCACTTGGAAAAATGAGCTGTTAAACAGCAAGCTGGTCTCAACCTTAAGTGCCACCGCCCGACTCTGACACGGGCTAATTCCCGTCCACCCGCCATTGCTGCTCATCCACTGGATGGTTTCCATCTCCGTTTGTTTGCTGCTCAGAGAGGAGGGGCTCTCGAGCATGTTATAGACACACCCCTTCTCAGACTCAGAAAGGCCCTCGGGTTCTTTGCACATGTCTGGAGATTCCCGTCTTTTGCTGGACTTGGAATCTGTTGACACGACCTGACTGAGACACACCCTCAGATATCAGACAGCTAAAAATCGGCTCTGGTGCCCTGAATCAGGGTCAGATTCCCAGCGGGTGTACATCAGCATCGCCCCACTGACGTCAATGGATTTGCACCAGCTGTGGATCTAGCCCTCCTTGGGACACCCCAGCAACTTTTGACTTCATCTCCCTCCCAAGAGTTGGAAGGGAGTCTCCTTTCTGTACTTTTTATATTATCCCCAATGGCCTACACCGGCCTGGTCCCTCAAGAGGAACCATTAGAGGGCAGCATGGAAGAGTCACCAGCACCAGCAACCGAAACGTCTCCTCAACCTTATTCAGCTGCGAGACCGAGCGGGGAACACTTAACGACTTTGCCGAGGAATATGGTGCTCCCACATGCGAGGGTGCAGGTCAGGCCCACCACTTTGGCTCCAAAGTTTTTAATGGCCAGGTACTCCTCCAGCATGACTCCGGTGAGAATGGTCTTGAGCTCCGGGATGCCAGAGCCTGGAAAAACACAAAAACGAAGGATACGCCAGAATGCCAGCAAACAACTCGGAAAGCCAAGAGTTAACAGAGGTGAAGGCATTTGGTAGGAATGTCTGGATCTCCAGTTCTGGGATTCCAGTGGTTCTCCAACCAGGAACCCAGCATCAACAAGACCAAGGGGGTGTATTCTGAGTTGGGTACTTGCAATTAAAACCAGATGACACTACATCATCCAAAAGCAGAGAGATGCTCTGCTTCTATCCAAGGTGTTTTCCATATTTGTTGGGTTCCAGGGATAAAAAAAAAAAAGCCATCTGTTGCTTGCTATAGGGCAAAGAGCTTTGTGCATACCTGACACTGAGAGCCAGTGAAAGGTTCCCTGAGGTCAGCCCTGGCGACTGAAGTCCTCTGTTTATCCACCAAGCCAATACAATATGGGAAGCAGCAGCACAAACTTCCCACACGCAGCCCGGCCAACTCACTTCAATGCATCAGATCTGGGGCGCGAGAGGGGAGTTCACTCTCAAGGCCCTTCCAGTCCTTGACCTGTCTACTGTGATGGCCAACAAGGGACCCACTTAGTGCTAACCATCGTAGGATTTTTGTGATGTGCACATCTGTCTCCAGCTTTCTCCACTCTGTAGGCCATCCGCTAGGAGATAGACCATCTGATGGACCATCTCCCCAACCCCCCATTGCTTAGTTCTCAAAAGTGGAAGAACCACTTCATTTACTGCCCACTGGGCTGCACTGTCCCCATCAGGCTGCACTGTCCCCATCATGATGTTGCTCAGCATGAGCCCATGGTGCAACAGAAGAGTCACCCCTGAAGCACTTGATATCAGGTTGGGTAGCCAATAGCCTGGAACTTGATTCCAGAAGAGACACCAGGCTGGTAAGGAGCTATGGGGCAAAGGGATGATTCTTATTAATCAGACAGCTCCTCTGTGACCTGTGAGCCTCAAGTCTGAGCACATTGGACTCACCTCCCGAGTGTGGAGTGATGCTCTGAGAGAAGCCAGTGGAGAAGGCGGACAGGGCAACCGGGTACATCGTCCAGGACAGGTATTTCAGCAGTAAGTGATCCCCGAGCTCCTGGTAAAGCCACTTGTGTGCTAGAAAATGAGTAAAACAGAGATGAAGGAAGTGATGTAGCAAAATGGACCAGTGGCCTAACGAGTGCAATATCTTGCCTCCCTTCACAACACAACAGACCAGTTCTGCATCTGTTCTGATAGCCCACATACGACACACCAGAACAGAGCGACGGTCCAACTGTTCCAATGTCCCACCATTCCAGATTATATCAATGGCCCAATCCCAATTCTGGGATCCCACCTCCTGCCACACCATAACAGATCATTGGTCCAGCTATTCCAGTTCACTCCTTCCAACAGTTCTCAGTGGCCAAGGGAAGATGGTAATCCCATTCAAACATCTAATTGTACAATAATATCCCTTGGAGAAAGACGGGGAGATTCTTCCTGACCCCCATCTGACAATCTTCCTATGCCCTGAAGCATGAGGATTGGCAGTGCTTAGGTTTTTACCCCACCTAGTGTAACCTTCAGATTCCATTCTAATTTAAGTGTGTCCAGTGCAATAGTGCATCTTACTAAGTTGTTTGCCCCACTAATATCCTATGGCAGTGAGTTCCACAGGTTTATTATACAGCATCTAACTCTTTGATTTTATGAATGCCCTTCCTGCCTTTCATTCACCACAGCTTCCAACTCTGTGTTCCCTGGAACATTACCCTACATAAAAACATGACATCAAAACAAACTGGGGTGGGTTGTGATGGGACGGTCGGGAGAGGGGAAGAAGGACCGGCAAAGGGTGGCGTAGGAACAGTCTCTATGATGAGTTCGGCCGCAGGGTTTCCTGTGGCCAACATACTCTAAGCTTTTCATGTTAAAAATCAATGTCAGTGGCCCTAGCGGGTCTGTGGAAATACGTCGTATACATGGGGCATCCTTCATCTGAACCCTCTTTCTATTGCCCTTTCTTGGGGCCACATTCCATGCTCCTATCTGAAACCCAAATCCCTCTTTCCTCGGCGCTGGGTAGGGGCCCGCTCTGCCCAGCTGCTGCCTTTCAGAAAACAGACTGGGGCTGCACAGGACAGGCAGCTGAGGTTAGCAAGTTGCCACGCCCCATAGAGTTTGTTCGTGCCATCATTTGCACAGGCAGGGTAGCTGGAATCCACTCCAGACGGGCTCAGAAATTCAGTCTGGAATCTCTCTCCCACTCGCTGTCTCCTCCTTCACATGGAAGAAAGAAAACAACGTGGATTTCTGTCTCCACCTGGAATGGATTCCTTGGGGAGGATAAAAGCCTCTTTCAGATTTCTGTGCACACCCGGGGTGGATCGTTCTGACCGCACTGTGGGCATGACAGTAATTAACCGAGATACACAAAGGAGTTCCCAGGGTACTGTTTGATCTCATGTGAACTCCACTAGGTGTCAATGTAACCTAAGTTTTCCCTCTGGGCATGGACTCTGGCTTTGTGTATTTTACCCGTCAGTGTGGGCTCCTAGGGTTCAGCCGCAAATCCCCTCAGAATGGAGCGTCAGATGGAACAGGGAAATTCTGGACTGCTTTCCAGCCACAGGTCCCAGCGGTGAGGGTGGGGAGGTGTTGCTGTGCTGTGGAGGGGGTGGAGGGGGTAACTTGCCCAGGGTCATGCAGTGAGTCGGTGGCAGGAATAGAACCCGATGCTCCGGATTCCTAGTTCAGTGCCCTACCCACCCAACTCCTTTCCCTAAGCTTATACTGTTTGCTCAGCCAGTGATACCCTGCATTGAATTCTGCTGTCATCCCCATGTGCCAGCATCCCCCACGGAGAACCCAAAACACAGATTTCCATGGCACAGTCGGTGAACCCCACAGAGACCAGCCAGGCCAGGAGCTTCCTCTCAAGTGATGCTGCAGTAGAGTCTTGCAGAACACCCCGTGCGCTCCTAGGACAGGCCATTGCCTTGGGGCTCCTACGTTCTGAGTAGGCAGAGGCTAGGAGCAGCGCAGAGGGAATTCTCTCCATGTCCAGAAAACCCCCACTGAGCACCTTTGGCCAGAAGGACTATGGAGCATTCAGGAGACGCATCCAGTGGAACAATGCAAGCCAAGGCCTGGCCAGGAGCACCTGAGTACTAATCCGATCTCTGATACTACCTCCTCCTGTGGCACTGTGGCCCCTCTCCCTGCCTCAGTTTCTCCAGGCGGATAATCATTCTGCAGTACTCGCTGCAGAGGCCAGGGTGCTTTGTAGTATTCAGCTGAGAGAAAGAGATCACAACCAGTCAATAGTTACCATTCGATACCCTGGAGACGGTGAAATCCATGGCAAAACTGATCAGCGCCATTATCAACCCCAGGAAAAAGAGGAAGTACCAGTCATCACCGACACGGAACAGCTGGCGCTTCACACACTCCAGGCAGCCTACAGGGGGCACCAGTGGGACAGGGTGAGTCAGACACACTCTGCTGGGGCTAGGTAAATCGCATGTTACAAGGAGGGTCAGCTAAACCCCACAGGGCATGAGTTTGATCATTGCACGGCAACTCCCCTTTCCTTTTGCCAAGGGACTGTAGCTAACCCAGTAAAAACCCTGGCCCCAGATCAGGGCCCAGGCACCAGGAGAATTTCCTCCTGCCTGTGCTCCTAGGGAAGGGTTTTTGGGGTTGCTCTTTTCAGCCCCCTTGTAAACAGAGGTTGCACATCCCTCACAGGAGGAAAGTGAGCGGAGGTTGTCAGTAGCACAGGGTCTGGCACTGAAGCAGAAACTGATCGTTTGTTCTGCACTCGGAGGAACAGGTTCTCGGAAGATGGGAGAAGCACATAGATACTTTTCAACCAGCTCGGTTATTAACCAGGAAACAAAGTTCCCCTGTGGTGGCAGCTTTGTTAAGGCTGAAATATTCCATGAGTTCATTCCGAGATTCATTTTCAGTCCAGCTACTGCCAGCGAGACCCACCCATCAGCTGGGTTTTGTCCTTCTGCAGCTCTCTATGCAGGCAAATGTCAAGGGAAAGGCAGTACAGACCGAAGGGGCACCTTAGAAATCCCAGCCGGATGTTATTAAATACAGCTGACCAGCAGCCCTGGATCAAACCCAGTGCAGTGATTTGGGGGCAGCCATTTGAAATCTAAGCCCAATTGGAGCAGCCACAGAACAACACTAGGCAGACAGAGCAGGGAGACGCGCACAAGCCCCTAGACAAGTACGGAGTGCGGAGCAGGGGTTATTCGATCAAGCGTAGCAGAGAAAGGACCATCAGCCTGCTGGGGCCTGGCTTTATTAACACAGAAGTTAACAACGACACACCATAGAGTGGGGGCTTTAGGAACTGCAAGGCTCCAGCTGGGAAGGTGCCTGGGGCCCCACCCCAAAGGGGTACAGGTGTCATACTTGAGGGCCTGCTGGCAGAGGAGAATGCTGCTTATGCCCCATCTGGACTAGATGGCCCAGGAGGCCTTTGCCAACTCTGCCACCCGTGCTGGAGTAGGAGCATTTCCACCCATCTTGGCTCTTACCTTGGATTGTCCTGCGTGTTCTGGGCCAGGGCCTCCAGCTTTCTTCTAGCACGAGAATCCTCTCTGCCACCTGAGCAGCCTGGTGCTCCCTCCACACCCTCCAGGACCCTGCTGTTGCCATGGGCCAGCGATGCCTCCAGGCCAGGAGTAGCAGGTCCCTGTGCAAACCGGGTAAGAGGCGGTTCCGGGCTGCCTCGCCGTAGGGGGTTCTGGGCTACGGAGAGGCCCATGTTACAAAGGATGGCACGGAGCTAACCAGGAACCATTTCGCTATCAGCGACCATACAGCTTTGGCAAACGACAGGCTCGGCTGCCCTGGTCTGCATGTGTGGTGGGGCGGCCTACCTCCCACAGCTGCTGCTTCCCCAACAACCCAGCCGTGGGGTACTGCATTGCTGGGTCAGAAACAGCCTCCTTATAGACCCTGGGCTGGAATTTGATGTTACACGGCTGCAAATCCATTCACTTCAATGGATTAATTCTACACTTACACTGGTGACACTGAGCCCTGCGTCGCTCCCCTCCCCGCTCTCCAAGCTTGTCTAGTTCCATCCCGTCCCCCCTCTCATCACCTCTGTTGTGGTGAAAACCTTTTCCTCTGCCCTTCCCAGAATCCAGAACAGACTCCCTGCCAACTCACTGACTCACCCTCTCATTTCATATCACGCCTGACGACAGCTTTGGCCCTGCCCGGATCTCTTGAGACAAAGTCAGTGGGACTTGGACCCTCCTTGGGGTGGCCTAATGCCCAGGGGCGAGCTTCTAAGACAGAATCTCGCTGGAGAGCGAGGGGTTATTTAGCTCTGCTGCACACCAGGAAGAAGTTTATAGGAAAGATCCTGCACCAGGTAAAGCCGCATTGTGCTAATAATAGCTGATGTTTGGCATCTAGCTGGAGTGAGCGGGTGATTAATGTGTTGACGGAGTGGGTGACCTTGAGTTGCTAATGGAGTGAGACCCAACAAACGTGCAGACTCGACTGGAATAAATGCTCCCACCATGCACCAGGCCCATGAGGCCTCAGGGCATTCACGTGTTGTTCACAGGAGGCCAAGAAGGTCAAGTGTAGGACAGGAGCTTATCGGACAGCTCAGAGCTAGGTTTTGTCACCTGGACACAACTGCAGGATCCCAGCAGAGGCCCCATGGCAAAGGGACACAATTCACTCCAGGCATCCCGCCCCTGGCTCAGCTGCACTGACCACCTGGGGATGGAGCCAAACCTCTACCCCTTTGCTGCCCACTGTTCCAGGAAGTGGGTAAGCAGGGGCATCAAAACACTGAGCGTTGCTGATGTGTCAGGAGGGGGGCTCTTCCCTCTGAGCCAGCCGGGTAGCCCAGGTGATATAGCTTACCCCAGCAGGTTCGGGTAGCTTGCCCAAGGCGGGGGGGTCTATGGGGATGTAGTCGAAGTCTCAACACATAGAATCATAGAAGATTAGGGTTGGAAGAGACCTCAGGAGGTCATCTAGTCCAACCCTCTGCTCAGAGCAGGACCAACACCAACTAAATCATCCCAGCCAGGGCTTTGTCAAACCGGGCCTTAAAAACGTCTTAAGATCTAAGATCAAATGAAACCAAAAGGCATTTAGGGCTGGATCCTGCCCATCCTCTGACCCCCACTCATGCAGAGCTCCCCTGAAATCAACATGATGTAAGGTAATGCTAAATGTGAGCAGGGCTGGCAGAATCCAGCACTTAATGAACCTTTATGACAAGGACATAAGTACCTGGATAGAAACCATCCTGTTTCGGGTTGCTTCAGGGAGGGCCTGGCTCTTGTATCAGCCAGACTGGGTTCACCTAATTCAGACCGCTCGTGCCATCCCTGAGGACTCAGCCCCTGTAGTTTCACAGCACAGAATCTGCCCCTGCAAGGACTTGCACCAACAAGGGTGCAGTAACAGTGAAGCCTCGGCACGGGGGGCAAATGTACAGCGTGTGCCATGCTGTGACCCAGCAGCCAGGCCCTTCACCACTGCAGCGCCCCAATCTTGAAAGCAGGGGCAGCGGCTGCAGAAGTGGGCTGGGAGAGCCAGTACTGAGGAAGAAAGGGGGGTTCGTGGCTCGCAGGGCAGTGGTTGGTTTGGGGCTCTGACGGGCGTGGGAATGGGGATCAGAGGGGGAATGGGAGGGAGTAGAGAGGATTCTAGCTAGAGCTGATAGAAAAAACCTTTCGATGGAACGTGTTCAGTGTCAATTGCCTGGGACCCAATGGGAATTTTTCAGCAAAAGCTTCTGTGTTCATCAAAAACTTTCACCAAAAAACTGAAATCTGATTTTTTGTTTGTTTGTTTCCTGCAACCAAAAAACTAAAATTTCAGGGGTTTGGGTTGCTGAAAACTGAACATTTTTTTCCAGGATCTACTTTCTACGAGGAAATTTGTTGTGACAGAAAAAAGTGAAACATTTTGCAGTTTTGTCAAAATTTTTCATGGGGAAGAAACATCATTTCCCAACCAGCTGTGATCACAAGCCTTGTGACAAGGGAGCTCACTGGGCCAGGCCACAAGGAGTCTAAGAGACTCCAACGTGGGGAAGTTAATATCTCCCTTTCACCATGTAAGTTACACCAGCACAGACTCCTCTCTGAGCCTCTCTCCCCAAACTTTTCCATGCTGGTCTGGACCTCTGCACTTTTCATGATTCGCCCATTGCTCATTCGTACCCTAAAGATGAGTCTTTGTTGGGTGGGCAGGGGCAATGATAGCACCAAAGACAGATTATACCTGTCCGTGAAAGGAGCGGGGAGCCCTACAGGTGTAGGTGCCTGCTTTCAGCACTGCAGTCTTCTCCACATCAGTCCTGCGTGGGAGTTAGGGGTGGACCAGCTGGTGGCCCTTGGAGATGCAGGAATGGGATTCTGTCCCAGGAACTCAAAACAGCTTCCCTGCATCCTGCCTTGAGCATTTCAGTGCACTCACGTGTAACAGCACCTTCTGATTCAGCAGATGTTCAGAGGCCTAGATTTGGCGCTGGTAGGGGCTGTGCTCCTTTCTGGGCAGGACAGGGGCAAAAGTGTCTGTCTGCCAGCTTTGTTGGCCCAGATTCTGGGCCCTGCCATGACCCAGTTTGTTGTAAGTTTTTGCTGCTTTATTACTGGGCACCTATATTAACACCCCCTGAAATTCATGGGGCAATTTGCCCCTCTAAGGGCTGTTGCTTCAGGCTCTCTGCAAACTCAGACATCACTGCATTGATAATACTCACTTCACCTTTCAAGGGTTTCTTCACAACCAGGACAGCTGGAGACTTACTGTTTTTTGTTTTAAGGAAAGCTGAGATCCTCACATAGAAGATGGCACCTTCAAAAGCAGAGCTGGGTTGCTGACTAGGCACAACCCAGCCCCATTCAAGCTGGGGGAGAATTCCCAGGTAGCCAGTTATGCCATTTTTCCAGCTGCTTTGTGCCACCCAGTGGAGTGGAGCCCCCAGGCCGGGGCCAGAATCCAGCCCAAAGCCTCTTTGACTTGCATCGATCACTAACGTGCTGAGGAACCTCAGTTTTGCTCCACAGAGAGGAAGGGAGTCAACAGAGAAGAAAGAACCACAGAAAATCTGATTTCCTCCCAGCTTCCTGGAACTCATAACTAACTGGACCTATGGCTACAGCAGGAAAGGAGCCCCCAGCTGCCAGCATCTCCACCCAGCAAGGGTGGCCCAGAGGAAAGGCTGGGGTACAGGGGAAAGGGGCTGAGATTCTCAGCGGGTGTAAACTGGTGCCACTCCATTGAAGTCACCGGGGCTATGTCAGTTGGCACCAGCTACGGAGCTGGCCCCTAGGCTAGTGGTTTCGCCTGTGGGACTGACACCCTAGACTCGGAGCGAGTCTGCACTGGAGCTGGCAGGGGGTTCCCAGATTGAGGCGACACCCCTGCGCTGATTGAGCCAATGTAAGTGCGGTGGTCCAAGCAGCTGGAGGGGCTAGCCGCCCCGAATACAGGCCTATGGGGTTCAGATGTGCTCAGAGTCAGGGTGGTGAGCCCATCCCACCTCTCCTGCCACTATAGCTACATTTTAGCACACTAGCTCGATCAGACCTAGCATGGGCCTGTGTCCAGCACCTGGGCATCTCACCCCAGCTCTGAGGAAGACACAAGGGCACCAATTTGGGGGAGGCCAGAAGCCTCCCAGGTGGAGCTCTTAACTACAGCCCAGCATTAGTGGAGAGGAGAGGTGCCCCTGGGGCAGGGAGCCAGTATTTTGTTTCCAAACAGAGGCAGGTGATTAAGATAAGAACGGGCTGGTGATTAAATGAAGGGTATGGAAGTGTAGCCTTTAAAAGAGGTTTCAGAGTAACAGCCCTGTTAGTCTGTATTCGCAAAAAGAAAAGGAGTACTTGTGGCACCTTAGAGACTAACCAATTTATTTGAGCATGAGCTTTCATGAGCTACAGCTCACTTCATCGGATGCATACCGTGGAAACTGCAGCAGACTTTATATACACACAGAGAATATGAAACAATACCTCCTCCCACCCCATATAATTCAGATGTCAAGAATTATAACATTCATAAACCAGTCGGAGAACACTTCAATCTCTCTGGTCACGCAATCACAGACATGAAGGTCGCTATCTTAAAACAAAAAAACTTCAAATCCAGACTCCAGCGAGAAACTGCTGAATTGGAATTCATTTGCAAATTGGATACTAGAAAATTTAGGCTTAAATAGAGACTGGGAGTGGCTAAGTCATTATGCAAGGTAGCCTATTTCCCCTTGTTTTTTCCTACCTCCCCCCCCCCCCCCCCCCGGATGTTCTGGTTTAACTTGGATTTAAACTTTGAGAGTGGTCAGTTTGGATGAGCTATTGCCAGTAGGAAAGTGAGTTTGTGTGTGTATGGAGGTGGGGGGGGGGGGTGAGAAGGCCTGGATTTGTGCTGGGGGTGGCCCACCTTGATTATCATGCACATTGTGGGGAGAGTGGTCACTTTGGATGAGCTATTGCCAGCGGGATAGTGAGTTTGTGTGTGTGGTTTTTGGGAGGGGGTGGGGGGGTGAGAGAACCTGGATTTGTGCAGGAAATGGCCCAACTTGATGATCACTTTAGATAAGCTATTACCAGCAGGACAGTGGGGTGGGAGGAGGTATTGTTTCATATTCTCTGTGTATATATAAAGTCTGCTGCAGTTTCCACGGTATGCATCCGATGAAGTGAGCTGTAGCTCACGAAAGCTCATGCTCAAATAAATTGGTTAGTCTCTAAGGTGCCACAAGTACTCCTTTTCTCTTTAAAAGAGGAATCCCTCTGTGGAGGGGGGAGAGGGAGAAGAGTTGTTTTAGAGAGAACACAGGTGGGGGCGGGCTCAGAAAAAATACAGCAAAGCACTGAGCCCAGGTTACGTTCAGAAAAGGGGGAGATTTGGGGGCGCAGGTGGAAAGAAGGGGTCGGACCCAGGGCAGGGCTAGCAGTGTATAGAGAGGTTCCCACTCTACCTGTGATACTTATGTGGCCTCCTCACCACAGTATCTGAGGCTGCACCTCACAATTTCTAACCTATTTCTCCTCCCAGCCCCTCGGTGAGGCAGAGCAGTGCTGTTATCCCCATTGTACAGATGGGGCATTGAGGCACACACAGACTAAGGGCCAGATTTTCAAAGGTATTTAGGCACCTAGTGAGATTTTCAAATGCACTTAGAAGGTTTGGTGCTTTGTAAACCCCACTAGAGATCTAGCTGCATCTTTCGGTGCCTAAAAACCTTTGAAATTGTGTCCTTAAAGCACTGGTCTGGGGTCAGACAGGAAGTCCATGGTCGGGGGTAGAACCCAGGTCTCTCAGGGCTAGCTCCCTACCCAGCAGACCAGCCTCTGTCTCTGCTGCATGCTGCAAAAAAAAAAGAGGATTCTGGTAGATGGGAGCAAAACCAAGGTGGCCAGTTCTCTGAGACTCCAGCAAACAGTCCCAGGACAGAGGTCATGGCTGACAGCATGAAAAGCAGCACAGAGGTTAGAAAGGCTGGAGAATGAGAGTCAGGTGAGAGGAGATCACTTAACTTCCCAGGAGTGGCAGGTTCTGCCCCAGGCTGGGTCACAGAGCAATGGCTACTGGGCAATTTTAACTGAACCATTTTGTTCAGTCATTTTTTGTTCTAAGTTTGAGAAAAGGAAGGAACAAGGAAGTGCCATGTAAGTATGTGATGTGTTTGTGCCTCAAATTCTTAGGGATTCAGCTGTATCCAGGCCAATGCCAGAACAAAGAACAGAAACTGCATCCAGAGAGTCCATAAAGTCGACAATTATTGTCACGATTTGTATTATTCACTGGGCATCATGTGTGTTCAGCACTGTTCAGAAAATCCAGTCCCTGAGCCTGTGCATCTAAGCTGTGTAACTCTGGATAAGATGGCTCAGATATTGAAGTATGAAGCGTATAGTTATTGACCCCACACGTTATCACATGGTCACCGTGATGTTTACAGCGGTGAGTGGAGGCACTGATGGCAATTGACGTTTTACTTGAGTAAGGGCTAGAAGATTTGACCCTCCCACTTTCTTTCTAAAGGAAGCACTGCCCAAAGCTCCTGTGCCTGTGTATTTTCCTTTCCTGCCTGCAGAGGCCCTGAGATACCTCAGAAGTCTCAGGGTTTTTTCTTAACTTTAAAATGTAGAATTTTCTTGGTGTTTGGTTTTAAATATCCTCCTGTGAGAACCGCAACTCAGTCGCTGGAGTGTTGTGTGTAAGAGCCTTCTGGAAAGTAACTAGCCTTTAAACAGAAGTAAAAGCACTGTTGGCAACTCTGATTTTGTCATGAGTCTCATGATAATTGTTTTCTCTAAAGCCCCAGCTCCTGGAGTCAAGTGGATATGTGATCATTTCAGCCCTCATTCTTAAAGAAAAATGAAGTTTCTAGTCCTCATGGAGGAGACTGCGGAGAGAGCTTCAAAATGTGACCCCCCAGGGCACCCTAAAGGCTCAAAAAAGCAGAAGGCAAATAAAAAGAACCCCAAATCTGTTATTTTTACATCATTTCATGATTTTAAAGCCAATGTCATGATTTTGGGTGAGCCTGATTCATGATTCTTTAAACATTTGGGATTGGCACTCATGTGAAAGTGACTTGAAAGTGTCAGTTTCACTCCTGTTTGAGGTTAGTTTCTAGTCTATTATCTGTAGTGAGGTAACACCTCTAGACCCCAGGCAAGTGCAGTATAAACTCACGGGGCCTTGCCCTAGTAGGCAGGGCCGGCTCTAGGCACCAGCAAAACAAGCAGGTGCTTGAGGTGGCACATTTCAGGGGGCGGCATTCCGGCGCCGGCCACACCGCCCCTAGAAATGTGCCCCCGCCGCCCCAGCTCACCTCCGCTCCGCCTCCGCCTGCTCCCCTGAGTGCACCGCCGCCGCTCCACTTCTCCCCCCTCCCTCCCAGGCTTGCCGCACGCCAAACAGCTGTTTCACGCTCAAGCCTGGGAGGGAGGGAGCCGCAGGAAGCAATGGGGGGGGAATGTGGCATGCCCGGGGGAGGAGGCGGGGCCGGGGATTTGGGGAAGGGGTTGGAAAGGGGTGGAGTTGGGGCAGAGCCGGGGGTGAAGGGGGCACGAAAAAAAAGCTGGGGCAGCCAACAAATTTTTTGGCTTGGGGCGGCAAAAATCCTAGAGCCGGCCCTGCTAGTAGGATGTTTCCAAAGTTAAATTATCTATTCCCAGCTTGGTGAACTGCAAAAAAAGTGATAGGAAGTAATCTAGATTTTTCTAGAATTGTTTCGATTGTTGTATTCGAGAGTTAGTAACAAAGAATATACATTAACATTTTAAACCTAACCAGTGTTACTTAAGTGACTTGACACAAGATGTGAGAACATGTTAGTATTAGAGCTGAGTGGATCTAATATTTATTAAATCCTCTTTTTTTAATATAGGAATTAGATAGTGCTCCTATCCGCTAATTTCTACGTTATCTGCAAAAAAACCCCAACACCTAGAGTTTTCAGGTGCCTCCTCCCGCTTCCTCTCCACTTTTTAGGGACAGACTCGTACCCAGTGTCAGAGATGTGACAAATGGCCATTAGCTGTGTCACTTGTTACTACCCTGATGAGCACTGACTGCTAACACACCCCTCGCAGTCCTTGCCCTTACTATCACCTTGCACCATTCACCTCTGAGGTGCCACAAGTACTCCTTTTTTTTTTTCATTGGCCAGGCTGGATTTTGGCCAGGGCACTAGTCAGCAGCACCCTGAGCCTTGGGAAAAGTCCCAGAGCATCTTCCGTGAAAGTGAGGAGTTGTAGCCTTGGCCGTGAGGCTTCTGGGGAATAGCAGCACTTTCACCACCCCGTAATCATGCCAGATTTTGCTTCGTTATTGGCTCCAAGGAGGAAAGAGCCTCTCATAACAAACCACCAGCAAGTTCAATTTCATTTGTTGCCTGTTCTGGGCGCTCAACACTGTGACTGGATTTACCCCGCAGCCCCCCAAGGAAGGGAGCCGTATTATCCTCCCTTTACAGATGGGGAAACGGAGCCTGGACAGACAAAGTGACTCAGCCCAAGTTGCCCAGGGTGTGAGATCTCCTGAGTCCCAAATCCAGAGCCTTCCCCGTGCCCACCCTTCCTCACTTTGGACCTTTCTTATGCACCGACGTAGCCCAATCCTGCTTTGGCTGGGAACTCAGAGAAGATTGTAGGACTGTGCGATGTGGCCGTATCAGTGTTTAAGAGAGTGCTCTGCAGCGTCGCCCTGAGCCTGTCCTAGCCCAGCCCAGCCCTGGCTATGCTGAGCTGTAATGGCCCCCTTTCCAGGGATTTAGTACGCTCAGAGCACTACAGGACTCACCTGGGTGCTTCTCAGGACAGCTGCTGCCTCCGAAGTTCTGCAGGAAACTGCCTCCCAGCCTCTGCACTTGCACTGGCCAGGTACCACTGCACCAGTCGCTGTCCCTCCTCCCCGCCCCACCCAGGCAGTTAGAACACAGGAAAGATTTACAGTCGCTATTCAAAACGTCCTTGACAAGTCAACCAGAACCACCTGGGCCGGAGTCAGCAGGAACAGCAAGGGAGGGTTCGTTCCACTTGTGAATTTTTTGACGATACAGTTTTCCATCTCTAAACACCGCTTCATTGAAACAGAAATGTTCTTGGGAAAGGCTGATGTCGGCAAATTTCCCATTTCGAACACTTTGGGGTGGGGGTTGTTTCCATTTTGCAAATTTCAAAACTTCAGTTTTTCAGGTGAAAGTGACCTGATTTGTCTCCCCCCCCACACCCCCGATTTTTGGTTTGAGAAAATTTTCAAGATTAATTTTTTTGTCCCACTTCGGGATTGGAAATTTTTTTGGCATCTCAAAAGTTCTTATGGGATGGAAAAATCATTTCCCACCACCTCTAGCTAGGAAGATCCCAGGGAAAACTCTTGTAATGTGGCCCATTGCCTCCCATCCAGATCCCCCACTGAAGCAAGGTCACCTACCAGTCCTGACCCTTGCTCCGTGGGTTTTTTTCCAATATAACTAGGATGACTGACAATTGGGAATCTGCCAGGAATCAAGAATCCGAATGTATTCAGCAACGCTAATGTGACAGATATCCATGCAATAGCAGTTCTGTCACACAGAGACAGCTCAGCTCCCCCTGAGTTCAGGTTCAGTTCTCAGGGAGGTTTTTGCTTTGTTCTTGTCTCTTTAGGAGCAGAGTTCAAGGTGTATTAAAGAACCAACTTGGATCAATGAAAAAGCAGGGGAGTCACTGATCTAGTCAGTGTCTGCTCGCCACAGGGGCTCAGCACCTGTGAACATCAGGCCTTCAGAGTCTCAAGTCGGGGTCCCAAAAACCAAGCCAGAAATCAATGACTCTTTTCGAACATATTGGCTCTAACCGCTCCGTGCCACAGTTTCCCCACAATACTAACCTACCTAGTGAGTTGTGATGCTTCACTCATGCATTGCAAAATGCTTTGAGCTTGCTCTGGAGTTCACGTTATAACTTGTTATTATTATACCTTAACCTGTCTACCCCAGGGAAAGGAAATCCACCAATGCTGTTATCCTAAAACACACCCAGAATCCAGCTCAGGGCTCTTTCCCGTCCATGTCCCAGTCACCATGTCTTTCCTTCCTTAGAGGTTTTTAAGGTCAGGCTTGACAAAGCCCTGGCTGGGATGATTTAACTGGGAATTGGTCCTGCTTCGAGCAGGGGGTTGGACTAGATGACCTTCTGGGGTCCCTTCCAACCCTTATATTCTATGATTCTATGATTCTATGATTCCTCAGCATAGTGCTTAACTCATGGGTTCCCAACCCCCCCACTTCTTTCTAGCTAGAGGGGAGTGGGTTCCTGGGGGGGTTCAGTAACTTGGGGTCGTGGAGTGGAAGAGTTGCGAGTCACTCATGAACCTCTTCCCACCTCCTCCCAGCATTCTGGGCTCATGACTCTCAGCGCAGAGATTCCAGGGCTGGCACCGGGCCGGTGGATCAGGTTCCCCATTGAGCAGGGAGGCGTGGCAAGCAGCCCAACGGGAGGAACTGCAGCCCGTAGTGAGAGGGTGCTGACTGACTCCAGGGTGGTCACATCCCTTCCCGGGTGAGAGTGCCGCCCCACACAGGCGGAGGTCAGCGATGGCTCAGGCACCACCTGATCACAGCCGGGAGCAGCTGCCTCCACAGACCGGCAGGGCCTAGCGCACCCCAGGGAGTGATGTGGGATCCGGACACCAGCCAAGTCCTGAATGGAACCAGATGGGCCCAAGATATGGCGTCAACACCGAGCACCAGCCGACCCTGAAATGCAATGGCAGCCCCGGACCCCAACAGGGCCTGCAGTGTGGGGAGGCTCTAGACCAGCAGTTCTCAAACTTCATTGCACCGCGACCCCCTTCGGTCAACAAAAATTACTACAGGACCCCAGGAGTGGGGTTTCAAACCTGAGCCCACCAAGCCCCGCCACCCTGGGGGAGGGAAAGGCAGGGAGAGGGGGATCCAAAGCCCCACCTCCCCAGGCCGGGGAGCCAAAGCTGAAGCCCAAAGGCTTCAGCCCAAGGCAGGGGGTCTGTAACCTGAGCCCTGCTGCCCAGGGCTGAAGCCCTCAGGCTTGACCTTTGGCCCCAGGTCCCACCAAGTCTAAGCCAGCCCTGGCGACCCCATTAAAATGGGGTCATGACCCACTTTGGGGTCCTGACCCACAGTTTGAGAACCGCTGCTGTAGACCCACTAAAGCTGATGCAGACTCTGGACTCCAGCAATTTGTGCCTGGAGACTATGGTGATGGACCCTCTCCAAATACCCCAGAAAGATGTTCTCATGGTTCCCCTCTGAGCGCCTGACCGGAGCCTTCAGTCCCTAGCCCTGGCCCGGCGCTCCAGCCAGTACCCGTCACACCATCCTGTACCCCAGCGCTCCAGCCAGTAACCAGCCCTGGCCTGGCACTCCAGCCGGTACCTGTCACACCATCCTGTACCCCAGTGCTCCAGCCAATACCCCCGTCCCCAGCCCTTGGGGGAGAGGGGCAGTTAGTCCTGATTAATGCCAGAGACAGTAAGATCAGAATGAGGCCTCCTGACAAAGTCTCTTGGATTTTGTTCTGGGTTTGTACAGCATCTAGCACTCTGGGGATGTGGGCCATGGCTGGGGCTCCTGGGCAGGAGCCTCTCTCTCACACACACACACACGCCATTCTCCCTTCCTTCCTCGAGAGCCTGGCTACAATTTTTAGCCCCTTAGGAAATAAATTTCCTCAGTGCCTGGCAGGATGGATCTGAAACCCTGCAGCACCCGGGCGCATCCCTCCCACCATCCCCGCCCACTCCTGCAGCGTTTTACGAGGGACTGCCAAGCAGTGTGGGATGGCTGAAGTTCCTTATCCCAGCCTTTCAGATGCATCCTGCTCCTCCGGGGGCTGGTGCCGGTTTCTTTCAGTGGTGACCTGGGTGGGTTCAGTTCTCAGATGGCGGGAGGGATAGCTTAGTGGTCTGAGCATTGGCCGGCTAAACCCAGGGTTGTGAGTTCAATCCTTGAGGGGGCCATTTAGGGATCTGGGGCAAAAATTGGGGTTTGGGGGTTGGACCAGATGACATCCTGAGGTGCTATCCAACCCTGATATTCTGTGATCACCAGTTTTGTTTTGGGAGGTCAAATGAAGCCTGCATCACTTGATCACAGAGCAAAACCATCAGTCAGCCCCAGATGTTCTCCAGCCTCGGTCTGGATTCACTCCAAACACCCACAAACCATGCAATAAGTCTGGCCTCACCTTCAGCTCCATAAAGAAACCCAAGATGTGGAGGAGCTGGGCCTGGTTTCAGCTCCAGTGAAGGGACAGGCCTGAATCGGAACCCCAGATTCAAACCCACCGGGGGATCTGAATTTCACAGCCGGCCTTTAACTGCGTAACAGACTGAACAAAAACCCCCACTCAAACCTCGCCCTTTCCCCATGACATCGGTGGTTGGAAATATCAGCGTTTTCCAACATATGTCCACACTGCACACGCGCGACAGCAGGGCTTGAGCTCGCGCACTACAGACAGCAGGGCAGACACGCAGCTCAGCCTCTCGAACCCAGACGACTGCCCGGGCTCTAGCCTGAGCTCACATATCCAGTGCTCTGGTTAGCACGCTAGCTGACGCCCTGCTCCTCTGAGGCTGTGGACCCAGGCTAGGAGGCTCGCTCCGCGCTGCAGGGTAGACACCCCCCAAGTGACTTAGGAGCCCAGGTCCCATTTTCAAAAATGATTGAGGGCCAATTTTTAAAGGCATTTGGGTGCCTACAGAGCTGCCATAGGCACCTAGTGGGATTTTCGAAAGTGCCTAAGTAGTTCAGGTGCCTGACTCCCATAGGCCCCTAAATACTGTTGCAGACTTGGCCTTTGGGTCCTTTGGAGCCTAAATCCCATGAGATTTAGGCTCCTAAGTCTCTAATGACTTTTGAAATGGGACTTAGGTTCCCAAGTCACTTCATCCTTTCTGAAAATCTTGCCCCGGGACTACTCCAGAAGCAGGGCCAGCTCTAGGTTTTTGCTGCCACCCCAAGAACGTGCTTGCTTTGCTGGTGCCTAGAGCCAGTCCTGTGCAGAAGTGAGCTCATCAGTGGGGATTGTCACCATTATAAATCCACAGACACCATCTCACAGGCTTTCTGCTCCGCAGGGTGTAAAGAACAGCCCGCAGGGCCTGACGACGGGTGATGGGCTGGGCCGGGGGCTGTCAGCAGCACCGAGTCCTGGGTGAGATGGAGGAGAGGCAGAGCAGAGGGGAAGGGGGAGGTGTGTGTGAGGGGAACGCTGGCCTCAGATTATTCATCAGGGGCTGACACAAGGCAAAATGCCCCCGCCAACCTGTGACTCTAGCCCCGGCTGTAATTACTCAGCATCTGGATCTCCTTACATCCCCCCTTCCCCAGACACATGCACGGCTATCCGGAGCTCGGCCCGCAGCCCTGCATTCCCCCAGCTCGGCTGGGACATGCCTTCAGGCCTGGCTCATCGCTCCGGGTAACGCACAGTCCCAGCACGGGGCAGACGCACATTCCAGCCGGCTCACAGGCCCGCACATTTAGCAGCACGGACATCAGCCGCATTCCTGGAGCGGCTGCAGGGTGGGTCAGCAAGCCCTTTTATCAGGCTGAGAAATAAAACCTTAAATGGTTGAAGGATCGGCTAAGTGAAGGGCTGGTCTGACCCAAAGGGAGGCTGTCAGACAGCAGTGGGGGCAGGGGCTGCACAAGCTTCCCCTTTCCGTACAACCCTCCCCAGGCACCCCAGTCCTGACCTGCCGCTCCCCCAGCTCTGCCACTGCTCCTCAGACCTGCCCTGCAGTAACTCCTGCTCATAATCCAGCCACAGGCCCCCACTCCATGCTCTGCTTATGACAGCCTCCCCGGATCTGTGGATACCCTGCCCCCCAAATGGGGGCGTTAG